CATTGGGACTGGAACTTCCCTCTCCATGAATTCTTTGGATATCTCACCACTGTCTACCGGGTTTCTTGACAAGCTATCAGCGGCTTGATTTAACTCTCCTGGGACGTGATTTATTTCAAAGTCAAAATCAGCCAACATTAAAGACCATCGCATCAGTTTTGACTTGGTCTTTGACTTCAGATAAAGATTAGTCCTTTTGAAGATTTAGTTAGTATTAAAATTGTAATTTTGAATTTGTCGATCAGGGAAAGTTTAAAAAAATCATGGAATCGCCAGGGAAAAGTCAGGGAATTTTTCAATGTGATTTCGCTAGACAAAAAAAACTAGCATATTTGTCTTTGGATTTTGTGAGTGTTGGAACGTCTCAAACATTAAAATTTCAAACCTTAATGTCACTGTCGCGGCTATATTGTAACCGCGCCAATCACTTCATTCCTCTACCGAGAGGTTCGATATATGAGTGAAAATTTAAAAACGTACGTTTTCATGTCCCTGACCTTTTACTTCGTAGATACTGGATTTGTAGTTTATTATTATGTGTTTTAATATTTTTGGGACGGGGGCAATATGTTACACACATTTATTTGGTTTTAAATAGGTTCTAGGTATTTTTTAGTGTTTTTAAAGTCTCGAAATTCACGACCATGACGTGTCCCTAGGGTACATTTTCCAACTTTCACGCTGTTTTTAGGCTAATTATTCATGCCGAAATATATAAAGCCATATTTTTATGTCATCCATGGTTTATTCAACTTACAAAAAAGAAGCACATTATAATTTTATTGTCATTGCAAACTGACTACCATGACAAAATAAGTCTGTCCCTCGATTTGGCGTCACGACCATTTGGGAAAAATTTTCTACTTTGGAGCACGACAGTGGCAAGCCTGGCGTCGATGGAGTCAGTTGGTTTTAGAGACTAGTTCGGGGTGTACGTCAGGATTGTAGTGCCGGTCGTTTCGAGTTGAAAGGAGGAATTACAAGATTAATAAAGGAAAGATTGTGTTTTTTAGCGAATTTCCCTATAGGGAATAAGCTATTCACCGTAGGTCTCATGGTAAGACTTAGTCCCGGGACCGATTTACTTTTTCATTTTGATGTTCCTAGAAGCCAAAAACACCATCCGTTCAAATTCATGTATATATATATATATATTTATATATATATATGTGTCCGTCAGCACGATAACTCGAGCAAAAATGATCCGATTTCGATGAAATTTGGTACAAACTTGTAAACCTACGTTTATTCGAACGAGTTCGCGAGCCAGCATGATCGGACCATGGGAACTGGGTTTTATGGGGGGATTTATGGGGTAAAAATTGGTTTTTCTCATTTTTGACCCTCAAAACATAAAAATTTCCCAAATTTCTTCTAGACCATTTTGAAGAGCTTAAAAAAACAAATAATTCAGTATATTGAAGTGTTTTTGTATGGTTATTGGTTACGGAGAAAATTATAAATTAAAAATTCCCATGTTATTCTTATGGAGAATAAGTAAACTTTTGTAGTTTGCTTGTTTATGCATATATTTGGATCAAACTTGGCCAATCAATTTTTTTATACTAAGCTGTTAATATTTTACTGAAAAACACACTTCATTACCCTGTAAGCAGCAAACCTAGGTACTCGTTAAACCTAATGTTATTTGAATAGATTTAATTGAAAATCAAATCAGGCAAATGGAAATTCGCTTAGTCTGCAGGTTTGCTGCGGCGGGGGTATTGTAATTTTAGTGTGCCCATGACCGTACATAGTCATTCGATGAAGTAGACATGGTGTTAATTTTTGTTTATAAGATATTTCAATTGCTAGATTAATCTAGAAGTCCACTTTGTATCCTCGAACATGAGGTGCAGGGCAACCGCCAGAACAGAGCCAAATAACACGTAATTTCACGACCAAAGTTTCACGACCATTGCGGGTTTTTTCACGACCAATCTAGCCTTATGGATTATAAAGTGTTTGGTCGTGACAATAACTTTAATATAATTGTAAATTGAACAGTTTAGTTCAATTGAAACACATATTTTTATTATAACTAACAGTATAATTGAAGGATTGTTTAGAAAGATTAAGATCATTTCAGAAAATTCACGACCGTACCGCTTGTCCCTGACCATCACGTTTATGATTTCTATCATAAATTAATTTAAAAAATTAAAATATCGTCATATTTTAATGTTTTATACAAAAAAGAAGCACACCTCTATACAAACATAAAGATTTTTCGGGTCTCAGGTAAGTTTTTTCGGAGTTATACAAACTTAAAAAGATTTTAATTTTTTTCAATTTTTTGAGTTTTTTATTTTTTTCTAGAAAGACCAAATATACCAAAAGCTCAGTGACCTTTTTATTGTATAATGGTCATAAAATTAAATTAGTTTATAGCAAAACATAGTTCTAAAGATAATATTAACTATTTTTAATATTCATTTAAACGTCTGTTATGGTCGTGACAGGATTTTGTGTTTTTCCACTAAAGATGCTCTTTTAAAAAAACTACCAAAGATATTGCGTTACCATGGACATTTTATGAAACTTAAAATGTTAATGAAATAAAAATAATAATAAAAGTTTTGAAAAAAGGGGGAAAAAATTTGCAAAGTGCTTTTCCTGAAAACGTACGTTTTTAAATTTTCACACATATAGTAGTGATAACATTAATGGCAAATATATTAGGGTAAAAGGCCATACATTTCGTAACACATCACCTTTTGTCATCGTTATATTATAATTATATTCTCCACTGAAGTTGTTTTTAAATATATGGAATTGTGATTTATTTACTGATGATTACCTTTAACCTTTGGTATTTCAATCCTAGCATAAATATAGTTCTTTCAAAGAGTCGTAATTATAACTAATAAGAATCCACTACAAAAGATACACCTTGGGTGCAACACTAAGTTTAGTGTGGTAGTGTGCAAGGTAGAGTCAGTGTAGTCTTAAGATTGTTTTCAGCCTTGGAAGAACTAAACACTACCAAGAACCCCCTTAGGACTTCTGGGGGTAATTTTATTCCACAGGGCCCACTAAATTTTTATTTAACATAAAGCTTCCACTGCCAACACTCTGTTGTAATATTTTTGTTCACTTATAGTTCTTCGAACCCAGGGGCAACCAATTTGTAAAGAACCAGTCAGTCGAGAGGTATTTGAGAGTTTACGAGTAAAAATATATTTGAATATTTATATATTAAATATCTTGTTAGAAATCCGTTTTTTCTTTACACTTTTACTTAGTACTGAATCATTTAATCAATACAAATAAAATCTTAAATTAACTTATTACATTACTACATTATGACTATTTTGGTAACTAAGTGCCTTCTTGTGTCAAGTTTTGCTAATGACGTAGTCGAGTTCAGTATGGATTTTAGAATTTTAGTACTGTTTATAAATACTTGGATATATATCATTTTTGATATTACAGAAATTACATCAATGGACAAAACTATTGTCTAACGTATGTTTCCAATCTTTGGGAAGAATATTTTAATTTTTCTTGCAATAAAAAATCATGCTTGGGTTACTTTTTAACAGAAAAGTTGCATTAACTTTTGAAACATAATGTTTACAGAAATGGGGGTTGCACTGTTTTGTAGTTCTTGTCCTGTGACACTGACCGCTACATGACAAGATCGTTTTATTTGGCTAAATGAAGGCGTAAACAGTGAAATAATAAGAAACAAATTGTAAACAAAACATGACCTCTATAATCTACATTGCACCGTACAGAAATAAAACTAAAATTTGGGCTTAAGCTGCTCCATAAGTATGACAAATCTACTAAACATGTTTTGATCATAGATCAAACATTAAGTCCCTTAGAAGATTTGTCATTCTTGTTTGAAAAGCTGAAGCCAATTTTATTGCTATTCTATGCCAACTGTAGAGGTTGTGTTTTTTTACAATATGTTTCTTAATATTGTTATTTCAGTTATTTAAAACCTAATTTAACCAAATAAAACTATCTAATCATAAAAATAACTGGTCTCCTAGTTATATAACCAAACAGTAAAGCACAAATCATAAAACTACCCTAATATAATAGAAACAAGATTTCGTTTACACTAGCGATCAGTGTCGACGTACATGAAATAGACACGAAAAACAAGCTTCAAAATCAACAATGGGAAGAGAAGTCTACTTATGTTGCATAGTCTACGGTTTTATCTATGAAAAAGTATTTTTACACCGGTATTACACAATATTACAAAATAAATATTACCTATACAATAGTTATCATGCATAGCATAAATAAGCAACACGAGCAATATCAAACTTATGATAATATATTTCAGCTTACATAATTAAAGTAAAACAGCAGATACAACACATTATTCTATTATTCAACAAAAACCATTTATACATCTATTACATATGTCGTCCAGGAGTAAAAAAAAACTTGAAATACTTTTGGTTTTGCTACGTTGGCTGCACTTAACGCGACTTCTTATTGCCGAGTAGCGGCTGCTAGTCGATACGATAATTTGAGGACCATTGCACGATAATTTTTTTGTCTACTCAGGATCGATCAGCTGTCCCATCCGCTATGACGTAATTCCCGCGCGTTATAAGCTATGCCACGTTTTTAAAATTATAAGCTATAGAACAAACGAGATTTTATAAGCTGCAGCACATTTGAGCTATGCCATTATAAGTTATGCCACATTTTAAGGAAACCGTTATAAGCTATGCCTCATTTCTACGATTATAAGCTATGGAACAATTTAAACTTTCCATTATAAGCTATGCCACATTTTCAAGATTATAAGCTATGCAACAAATTCGCAATTATAAGCTATGACATTATAAGCTATGACATCGTACCGACTCATGGGATCAGTGAAGTTCCTCTAAACCAAGGACTTATGAGGTAAGCAATCGCCAGTGTGCTAGCGCGCTTCATGGCATTTATTCAAGCCTGTTATAAGGTAAACAAGAATGGAAAGAAGGAAAATAATATTTATATATGGATATGGAATGGAATTTTTTATTGAAGTGTTAGGTTAGCTTCGCTTTGTTTTGTTCGTTTGAATTAAACTTTAAGCTTATAATATAAATATAACATTCAACTGTAAAATTAAATTCAGTTTGATGTATGTTGTGTGAATAGATTTAAATATTTTTGTTAAATAAATAATGTTATAATTAATTTTAGTTACTAGCAAGTAGGCTTATCACATACATAACTACACAGCTTTCTCACGATATTTTATGTTGTATGCTCTAGTTTAAAATGCATCAACAAATTGGAATGATGAATTCTAATTTCTTCTACAGGCAAGTATTTGTCAATAGTCAACAGTACGACAGAGGCTACATTTTATTCTGATGCCTGTCACGCCTTCCTTCCATAAACTCACCACCCACTAACTTGTGTTTTGTGTCTTGAGGATTTTTTTTAGGCCTAATGTAAATAAAGCATTGGATTTTTAAGCATAGGCTAGATGAGGCCTATTAGCTGTTCAATCTTAAATATAAAGTAGGCCTAGGCAAAATGTGTGCAGGCCTACTGTCTCCTCAATGCCTAGGAGGAAACAAGTGTGCCAAACACCTCACCTACATTAGGCCCTAACTTACCGTAAGTTAGGCCAACTCTGAAATTGTAATTTAAAAAAGTTTTAAAAATTTTAATAAAAGATTAAGTGTACAAGTTTTATTTGTTGTAAATAATTAATATTTATATTAAAAAAGCTAACTTATGCTGGTCAACAACGCGGCTGCACTTTACTTGACGTCCTACACTCATTTGAATGAAAATATCGATCGATATATCGATTAATCGATTGCTTCATTCGATATATCGTTTGGTTAGTTAGGTAAGGTTAACCTAACCAAACGATATATCGAATGAAAATATCGAATCGAAAAAACCAATCGAATGAGTGTAGGACGTCAAGTAAAGTGCAGCCAACAACGCAGCTTTGGTAATAATGTAATGTTCAAACAAAGCGTCTAGGCAGGCCTAAGTTACTAATCGCAAAGAAGCTGCAAGCCACCTAAGTTACCATCCTGCTATTTTCCGGTCCAAAATTAAGAGCCTAATGCTATAAACATAAGTTATCACAGTTAAGTTAAACTTATTTGGCGAGAACTATTGTTGAACTATATTAGTGGGAAAGGAAACATTATTCTGTAAATGGGCGCTAGAACTGTGCGGGTGTTTTCTGGCCCATGAGAGGTCATATTTTTTTACTGCTACCCTCTGTAGTGTATTTCAACTTAGGTTGGGTGTTTGTGTAAGTTATATTGTTGGTTGTAATGTGTTAGTTAAGTTTTTTCACCTGAGGACGGGATCAGATTCCAGATCCCAAAACGTTTTAAATTGTTTTTACCATCGTGATAGAAAATGTCCGCAGTAAACCTTTGAACAACCACCCTTTGAACCTTAAAGCTACCTTATTTACTGATAATATTTTATTTAACTTAGGTATTATTTGACTAGATTTAAAATATATATTTATATTTCACCGTTGATAAATTGAGTTTTTAAAATATTGTTTTCAGATTTTCAGCGTTATTTACAGGATACCAAAAATGTGGTATTCACAAACAGTCTGTTTATGAGAAGTTGAACATATCACCTAAGCCTAAAAAGCCAATGACTCCTTATCTTCAGTTTCTTTCACAAATTCGACCAACTATAGTTAAAGAGTTTCCAGGAGTGAAAAACCAAGGTAAGCCACTAGGGTACCCTACTCGAGATTTTTTTTAGTTTTTAAAACTTATACTTTCAACTACCGGTAGTCATGAAAGCACCAGCATTGAGTATACATTAGAGTGGTCACTCAATGGGGGATACCATTACCTGAACAGCGCTGTTGCAGTGTAGCTTCGGCGGTTTGAACTGCGCCACCTTGGGCTTATCAGTAACTTAAGGCAGTTTTGTTGGTTTTTAATTTTGTGTTTATAGTAGGTTATAAAATGTTGTTTTGTTGATGAAATTCATGTATTTGGTAGTTGTTTTGTTGTTTATAATTAATTTTAATAGGTTACTAATTATTTTAAGGCACTTCAGACGCATTAGCCTACCACAATTCAAGCGTCAGTGGCCCAAACTAAGTCGCCAAAATCGGTAACAACTTTTAGCATTATGTGACCCCCCTTGTATGTGTAGTATACTCCATGGCACCAGTGAGTCCTGTGTAATACCACAAATAACAAGTTACAGTCACGATGTATTGCAAAGTTTGAAATAGGAGTATTAGCCTAAATGAAAAGAATTGAAATAGGTAAAGAAAAATAAAAATGTTTTGTATTTGGCTATTAAAAAATAATATATAATGGTAAAACATGCTTCATTCGGACTAAGCCTACTTCATTTAAATCTTTGATTTTAAATGTTTATCTGGTTCTATCTGAGGATGGTTCATGCCGAGCCTCTTCACATCATGTGAGGGCTGAATTTTCAGCTTAGAATTCTTGGTGTAAGTATAGACATTGACTAGCTAACATGGCACTTGGAATACCTGTTCCCATAGTCTTATAATACTAATTCGCAAACTCATTCAAGTTTATCCTGCCCTTCATCTTAAACCCTCCCAGTGTTACTTGACGAAAATTCGACAAGCAGCACACTTTGTGTAGTGTTACTTGTCGATTTTTCGACACGCAGACATCGTTTACGGCGAAGGCTCTATGACTGACTGAATCGGATTGAACTGGATCGAGTTAGGTATCGTTCTTTCCGTAATATTCTAAGCTTTCTCCAGAGGTCTGTCTCTAAGCGCTATTCATTTTAGTTCCGAAAATATTGTAGCAGACAGCTGACGTGCGTGTATTTGTAAACAGCTAGGTTCCCCCGGACCGATGACTGATGTGTTTTATTACGTTTATCATTGTTTTAGTGTTAAAAATCAAAAGTAGTGATATACGTGGTGCATTATAAGAAGATTTAAGTGGTTTTGAAGTGCTGGTTGATGATCCTGAAGAAGTAGGTAGTGATATCGATGTAAATTATCAGTCAGATTCCTAGCTATGGTTAGGCTATGCATTCTTAGCTAAACGCTATGTACTGAAATCAGTTTTTTGCCCATAACTTATTTATTTGCAAATATACTTCCTTATATTATTATATATTTGTAATCCTCATAAAATTTAGAACAAAGTGGCTATTTTCAAATATTTATAGGCCTATAATTTATACAATTTCATTGAGTGCGAACTTATTTTTTTTTGAAAATTTTCGAAATTATATTTTTTTTACCTAAAAAATTTTTTTTTTGAAAAAATGTTCCTTATGTTTTATATATAATATTGAAGCCCATGATTTTCCAAACAAAATGGTATATAGAACATTAGAATTAACATTGTTTTAAGCTTCTCAGATCCGTTTTAATAAAACCTTGCAAATGCGCCAAAAATAGGTGGACATTAAGGCCTAAACTATGGACACTTGGAGGGTTAAGCCAAATTTTATCAAATTTGGACAAAAATTACTCAGGTTAGGCGTTCACGGACGATTAAACCTATATATATACCGGTACATATATAACAATTTCAACAAATAGTATTTTTGGCCTCTATAGGGACAACAAAATGAAAAATAATGTCGGTCCCGGGGTTAGGGTCTTACCATGCCACCTACGGTAATAGCTACTACCCTCTAGGGAAATTCGCTAAAACATATGAAGTAGGTAGTTTATTGAGTCTATGTAATTTTTTTTTGCTAAAATGAGCAAAACACTTTAATTTAATCAATTTTGACATGGAAAAATAATAAAACATTTGTTATTTAAATTAATAAATAATGTAATTATTTTGTGTCTCACTTTAGTAAGGTCTAGATTGTCATTATCTATCTCTTATTACAGAGTTGGTTAAAATAGCTGCTAAACGTTGGAATTCAATCGATTCTACTGTAAAAAACAGACTAACCGAACAGTACCAAGAAGCAAACACACAATACAATAGGATGAAAGAAGATTATGAGAAACACCTAACACCAGATCAAAAAGATGCCATACATAGAGCCGAACAGTTTGAAAGGGATTTGAAAAAAGAAAGGAAAACAAAAAAAGTAAGTATCATTGGTGGTGGTTGGTTTATTATAACCTTTTGTTGCAAGATTTGACTCTTTTTGTAATTACAATATATTTTTGTCGTACATTACCTACTTTATTTGTATAATGGTATGATTTTAAGGTCTGAACACGTCAAATAACCAAATACATGTTTTGTATGAATCCCTCTCATTATAAATTACTGCTGATATGTTGTTCAAAAATAAAATTATACCATAAATCTTTTAAAGAACTGTTAATATCATCAGTCTATCTCTCATGATTGCACAATACAAAGGTCTAATGAAACAGTTATGGAAGAGTTAAAGAGTATTTTTGACCATGTACACTTCACTGCTATACCATATTTCTGGGATCATTACTGTCTGTTAGCAATTTATGTGATAACAAACGATATTAAAGTAAACAATTGTAAAATTTGTGCAGTCTGTGAAGTCTATTTACTTACCCAAGGTAACATCACTTAAATCCCAGCTGGATTTAAAAAAATTGAATTGTAACTGTAGAATTTTGGCTGCCCCCTTTCCATGATAAGAATCTTATTTGTTTTTGAGATATTAAAAATAGTACGTTTTAAATGGCCGCCAATTTGAATCATACAAACACAAAGTAAAAATTTCAGTGTTCAGATAGGTCCTATTTATTGCTATTCAAGTACCTATTAAGTTTGAGGTAAATATTTCAAAAGATATGTAGACCTACTATAAACATTTGTAAAAAAGACATACTTACAGGCACACAGAAAACCAAGCATTATTGACCTCTATTGTGAGGTTTTTATCGTGTCTTGACCTAATGAACAAGTGCACTACATTTTTCAGGAGTTTGCATTACACTCTGCACCATACAAGTATGATTTATATTTTCTTTTTCTAGAAATCCCAAGAACTTGGAAAACCCAAACGACCAGTCTCAGCCTTTTTTAAATATCTTGAAAGTAGAAGTAATGAAAAAGAGAAACAAAAATACCCCCATGTCACGGTGAGTGTAGAAAATACAATTTATCTGTAAACGAATGGTGGTCACATAAAAATCCATTAAATATGTAAGATGTTTTAACACTAGGCCTACTTTGGAAGTAAGGGGTATGCTATTCATGCCGGGCCGCAACTACATATTTTTCTATGGGGTGCAAATCCTAAATGGCATTTTACTGTCAGTCTTAACACGAGGCACACAAACTTTTTTTTAAGAAAATGGTCCGTAAAGCTAGGCGCCCACCGGGCAACTCAGCGGGTGACGCGGCGCGACGCGGAGAAAAACTTCCGTCCGCTTCTCCAGGGTTCGCGCCCACCAAGCAACTCTAGCGGAAGCGCGGGGCAGCGCGGAGAATTATTCTTTTGGAGGGGATGCACAGTGCACTTCGATTCGGACCCGAACACTCCCGAAGGGCTCGCGATACTTTCCGAAAACACCCGAATGAGCGGCAGACGAGGGGCGGACGCCGTTTCCGTGCCTCTACCCCGCGCCCACGCCCACCAGGCAACTCAACGGAGGCGCGGCAACACGAGAGGAAGAAATTCTCCACCGAATTCTCACTGCCGGATTCGAGAAGAAGTTTTTTTTCCGCGCCGCGTTGCGCCACCCGCTGGGTTGCTAGGTGGGCGTCAGTCCATAAGATAACATGGCACGGATACGTGGCAACTTTTTTCCACGGCGCCGCGCCGCGTCACCCGCTGAGTTGCCCGGTGGGCGCCTAGCTTAACATTACGTACGTTATCAAAAATGTAATAATTTTAAAAATTGGTATATTATGTAATTCTTAGACCTGAAAGTAAAACTTTTTAAAGAACTAATTAAACAAATTCTTTAATGTTTAGTTATTAAATTACTCTGAACATACTACAGCTCTCAATACATAAAGTTCCTCAATAAGTTTAAAAAATTATTAAATTTGATTTTTAGCAACAAACGACTTGATTATATCAGATAAAAAAACGTTTGTCGTTCTTACATGTTTAATTGAGATTTTCTTGCTAATAATTAAGGAGTCTTTGTCTTGTCTAATGATTAGTGCCGGATCCAGCCAGAAGTCGCCGGGTGAACAGAAATGCAAAACAATTGTCTGCGATCGCGGCAAAATTGTGAACACCTCCCGCTATTACGGGGACATCGTTGTTATTGCCATCTGCGATTGCGGCTGAATCGTCATTCGTGAACATCTCCCCCTATCACAGGGACATGATTATCGTCACCCGCAATCGCGGATAAATCTTCAACGACTTTCATCATCACGGGGACATTGTAACCATCAACTGGAAATAATGTTAACGTCTACCGCCATCATGGGGACATTGTTATCATTAACTTATAAAACTATTTGTTCTTTTAAAAATGTGTTAGCAAATTTCCCATATAGGGAATAAGCTATTACCGTAGGTCTCATGGTAAGACTAAGTCCTGGGACCGATTTACTTTTTCATTTTTATGTCCCTAGAAGCCAAAAACACCATCCGTTCAAATTCATATATAGAGGGTGACAAAAAAGTCTGGAAACGGCTTGATATCTTTTTAACTAAATTCGTTAGAAAATTCAAACCTTTCACATCAACTTATATGTATGAAAACTACTTTTTGCAAGCATTACCATTTTTGTACCTTCACCAGGGGACGGCCCATGAGGAGTAGGTACATAATCTTTGATGTAAGCGTAGGCTGATATGCACATACTTTTAAAGGTCTGGTTAAGTGGAGTTCATTGCCGGAAACCGCGTCAAAAAAGGTTCATCCGTTACAAAATGGCGGCATTTCAAAGTTCTTGCGGAATATACCTGCACAGGCCTTAGTAATGGTAAATACTCATAGTCAAAATTAGCCGGGAAATCTGAAACCCGGTTAATTTTGTTTTGAAGATTGAATAAACTTAGTCTATGAGCTAGTTGACTTTAAAATACAATTTCAGCTCTCAAGATAATGTTTAATACGAGTATTTACCAATACTAAGGCCTGTAAAGGTATATTCCACAAGAACTTTGAACAGCCGCCATTTTGTAATGGATGAACCTTTTGAAACGCGGTTTCCGGCAATGAACTCCACTTGACCAGACCTTTAAAATGATGTGCATATCAACCTATGCTTACATTAAAGATTATGTACCAACTCCTCATGGGTCGTCCCCTGGTAGAGGTAAAAAATGATAATGCTTGTAAAAAGTAGTTCTCATATATATAAGTTAATGTAGTGAAAGGTTTCAATTTTCTAACGAATTTAGATAAAAAGATATCAAGCCGTTTCCAGACTTTTTTGTCACCCTGTATACATATATATGTGTGTGTGTCCGTTAGCACGATAACTCGAGCAAAAATTATCCGATTTCAATTAAATTTGGTACAAATGTGTAAACCTTCATTTATTCGAACGAGTTCGCGAACCAGCATTGATCGGACCATGGCAACGGGGTTTTATACCGGTAGGGGGATTTATGGGGTAAAAATTGGTTTTTCTCATTTTTGACCCTCAAAACATAAAATTTCCCAGATTTCCTCTAGACCATTTTGAAGAGCTTAAAAAAACAAATAATTCAGTATATTGAAGTCTTTTTGTATGGTTATTGGTTACGTAGAAAATTGTAAATTAAAAATTCCCATGTTATTCTTATGGAGAATAAGTAAACTGTTGTAGTTTGCTTGTTTATGCATATATGTGGATCAAACTTGGTCAATTTATTTATTTTATACTAAGCTATTAATATTTTACTAAAAAAACATACTTTATTACCTTACCCTTTGGCAGCAAACCTAGGTACTCGTTAAACCTAATGTTATTTGAATAGATTTCAATGAAAATCAAATCAGGCAAATGGAAATTCGCTTAGTCTGCAGGTTTGCTGCAGCGGGGGTATTTTTATACTAAACGCTGCGGCCCTAAGCAGTGGTCTAGTGGTAAGTCTCCCGATATTGCTGCGAACACCAAAACTCATTGTCGTCACCCGCCACAACGGCAAATTTATTAAATGTTAACCAATAATAAACAAAATAATACCCCCGCCGCAGCATACCTGCAGACTAAGCAAATTTTAACTTGTCTGATTCCCTACTAAAATATTTCCATGAATAAGACATATTTTTATTCCCAATTTAAACAACATTAGATTTAACGAGTGCTTAGGTTTGCCGCTACGGGGAAGGTAAAAAGTGTTTTTGACCATCGGTCAATAGTATAGGATGAAATAAATAAATTTGCCAAATTTTATCAACGTATATCCATAAAAAAGTAAACTAGAACAGTTTTCATTTTCTCCATAAGAATAACATGGGAATTTTAAAATAAATTATTTTTGAATTTTCTCCCTGACCATTAAGCATACATTAGTGCTTCAATATACTAAATTATTTCTTTTTTTAAGCTCTACAAAACAGTTTAAAAAGAAATTGCAAAATGTTTAGTTTTTATGGTATTGTTCCTGGGTAAGAAACAAATCCAAATATCATATTTAAATTGACCGGAAGTCCTTAGTTACTCACACAGCCGCCATTTAGTTTTTTTCGCTTATTGAATGTTTTCGGAAAACTGGTAAGAGAAACGAAATTGAAACTTTGCAAAAACATTTATAACAACTAGACAAAGAGCTACAAAAAAATTATGAACATTTTTACACTTACTTTTAAAGTGTACTCTCACTGTACAGGTACAGGTTAGAGGTACTGACTACATTGAATAAACAATAACATTTTTTCAGACAAAATAAAATCAGCTGATTAGTTTGTAAAAAATTATGTTGACTTCCACCACAGCTGATTTTAAAAATTAGGGTGTTTAGTGTGAATTTTAAAAACATTAAATAGGTGTGCAATTTTTAAGCCATCCTAATGATTGATAATTGATAAAAAAACACTTTTGGGGTTATGTAATATTTTATTATTGTTTGAAATAATCTAAAATCGTTTAAAAATAACTTTCAAAGCGGGCGCAGACTGTTGCATTGTTGTGGCAGACTCAGGCCGAATGCCTTGGCATGCACTACATCTAACCTCCAGCGGTCACGTATTACTAAAGCTGCCATAACTCAGTTAATATCCATCCAATCTTAAAGATTAAGGTGTCAATCGATTTGTAATTAAATTATCTTAAAACAGTTATCCTTGTAAATATTTTGTAAACTCAACGGCTTTCGAGTAATTTAAGAAACAAAATTTTAAATGTCCGCCATTTTGTTTTATGAATTTTAAAAATGTTCATAATTTTTTTGTAGCTTTGTCTAGTTGTCATAAATGCTTTTGCAAAATTTCATTTTCGTATCTTTTACCATTTTTTAGAAAACATTTAATAGGCAAAAAAACAAAATGGCGGCTGTGTGAGTAACTAAGGACTTCCGGTCAATTTAAATATTATATTTGGATTTGTTTCTTACCCAGGGACAATACCCTAAAATATCCGACACGAATTCTGAAACACTGTACATCAGAATTTGAATGGTTGGTGTTTTTGGCCTCTAGGGACCTCAAAACAAAAAATATATCGGTCCCCGGTCCAGGTCTTAGGATGGGTACTACGGTAATAGCTTATTTCCTATGGAACCCTGCTGCTTCCAACCCTGAACCTCATAAACGTGTTCATATTAATATTTCCTTGAAAGCCCTTTTCATTGTATTGGCTAGACCACTTTAGTATGCAAAATAAACATTTTTGTTTTGTAAGGTTAAAACAAATTACTTAGCAACCTAAATTTTGCTGCCCCCAAAACTTGCCCCCTGGGGCATACGACCCTCCCTTCCCCCCCCCAACCTAACTGTGTGGCCCTGTATTCATGTATGAAAATTTGTCAAGCCCTGCATAAATATAAATGTGCTGTAGCACAATAGTTAATTTTACTTTTGAGAAATATTCATTTGAGGTGTAAAATAATGAGGTATAATAAACCATTTTTTATAAATATTTCCGGGTATTTATAATTATTCAAGTTTGAATTCATTATTTTATCTTTGGATAGCATTGTGTGTTTTTTATTATGTACAGTATATCATTTCATTTTAGGCTAGCTTTTGGGGGTTCAAGGGGACCCAAAAGGGATGTATCCATTCAAAACTCAAACTCAACAATTTTGATGAAACATTACTTTCTCCATATACTATGTATAGGAGGAGAAAGTCAAATGAGTTCAGACTTCTGCTTCTTTTGGTAGTTAACCAAAATAGGATGTATAACACTTGGATGAACAGTACTTGGTTGAAGCTGTAACAAAACTCTTAAATTAAATAATTTTGTTTCAGGACTGGGTGAAAGCAGCAGCTGAAGACTGGAAAAACACTAGCCCTGAAGTGAAAGCAAAATTTGAAAATGAAAGGAAAAAAGAACATGAGAGTTGGCAACAACAATTGAATGAGTGGGAACAAAAAATGATCAAGGAAGGAAATATTGACGTTGTTCGCACCAGTTCTCTAGTCAAAACTCTAAAAGTCAAAGCTAAAAAATAGGTTGGTTGGTTTCTGTAAAATTATTGTTAGTATGTAAATATATGGTTGTAATAAAAGTAGTTTTGGTGTTCCTATTTCCTCGTTGATTATCTCTTTGTTTAAAAACTTGTCTTTTGTTTGGCCAATTTTAAACTCACACACACTAATACCAGATTTTGTGTACAGGATGAGGCGTGCCCTGGTTCCAACGTTTTTACGTCAGTAGGTGAAGAGAGCCAGGGCACAGACACGTGCCAAAGAAACTCTCTGAAACATTTACCCTACTCGGAAAGTGCCAACGAATCACAAAACCTGCCAACACAACAACAAAAAAAATGGATAGTAAGAATTTCAAGAAGAAAAATAAACTCTATTGTTGAATTAGGCAACCGGCAAGTTAATTTAGAAAAGTTAGCGTTAGTGTCACCAACCAAAAATGTCAGCAAAGAGTGTAAAAACTTAAAAGTAGCAAAGGAAAATGAACAATCTAAAGTTTACATAAAGACTGACAATACATCAGACAATGATGTAAACTCTAGTACACTGTTCAAACAAGGGAGCTGCCCAGAAGACAAACAGTTAGAAGAGTTTGCTCAAAGAATTGAGAAGAACATTTTGGAATCAAAAAATGGTGATGATGAAACCAAGCATTGGCCTTGGTGGGAAAAAATACTTGGTATCTTTATTACTTGGTACTTGGTTCTTAGTAAAATTAAGAAGTAATAAATTATGATTTGTTTGCTATTTTCCATAAATAGGTTTGTGTGTTTAAAACAATAAGTCAACTTCAACTATAATCTTTTTTCACAAACTAAGATACTTGATTTGTACACCTTAATAAAGTGTACAACAGTACTAAGAATTTTACTTTAACCTTTGACTATTAATACAACAACCAAATCATTTTGACTAAGCTAACTGAAAAATTATTAATGTATGTGTAATGTATATACCCCTGCTAGGCAATTTTTATTTGCCTAAGTGGATTTTTACTGAAATATTTCCTTCACAGCAAATCTATTCACCATATTTAAATAACATAAAATTGATAAACACTTATGTTTGCTGCCACAGGGAATGATTTATTAATTAATGTATTGTATATATGTTGTAAGTGAAATGTTAATAGCCTAGCATGAAATAAACAAATTTTCAAATTATATCATATTTGTCGAAATATATCTATAGCCTAATCAAAAAACTATAGACTCCAAGATGGACTAAATGTTTTTAATTTTTCCCCGAGATAGATATATAAAAATATTCAAAATACAGTTATTTTTGTAGTTATGATAAAAAAAAGAAAACAGTGAATTCAACCGCTGTAAACAGGTTTTGCAATAATGGATTTTATGGAGAAACAAATTTTACCATCAATAGTTCAACATAAAATAAACTTTTTAATTTAGCTAAAATAGGCTTTACCTTCGTCACTGCAGCTCAAATACTGGTGTAACTACCTTACGGCCGTTTCAGCATTACAATGCCAATAATGCCATCATTAGACTACAAAAACTCAGCTGAAGTAGGGTCGTTGAAGTTTAAACACATAACACACGAGAACAATAACAGTATTTGAGCTGCAGTGACGAAGGTTAAGCCCAAATAAGTTATTACACAGCTCAGGGGCTAAAACATCGATTTTAATTGTAATTTAGGTTACCCCATTTGAAAGATTGACAGTGTACTACAGTTAAAAAGTTAACAGTGTACTAGAGTTGAAAAAAATTACATTAAATATGTTTTACGACTGTGACCATTATACTGCAGTTGCTCTGTCAATTCACAAACAAGTAAAAAGTCACTGAATTGTTATTGTTTTGAGAGTATTATAAGTTTTTAAAAATAATATTTACACCAAAAAAATTAAATTTCTTTCCCGTTACAGTGGTACACCTGTTCCTGTGAAGGAAGAAAATATTCCTTGCTGTAGTTTTTTTAAACACCGTGCTTTTTGGCAGGTTTGTGGCACGTACATGGTGCAACTGATTTTGCTCAACATTTTCTTTCACTTTTGTGCTATTACATTAATTCCCTTGAAATGTAAAGTTCATTTATGTAATAAAATAAAAGTTTAGAATCTTATCTTGTAAATTTGTGTACAAATTATTCAATTTTACAATAGTTTAGTTTGTAACTACAGTACCGGTATTTATTTATTTGGAGTTTCAAAATCCTTACTAAACAAACAGACACCAACTACCGCAACACTTACAGTCACACTGCCACTTGCAGGGTTGATGATGATTTTCTCATAAATAACGCTAAAATCGGATCCACACATACACAGGAGTAAAAAATCTTTTTGGGTTCCCCAAAACCATAGATAAAACATACTCCCTTAGGGCCATGTCATACGAGCGCTATTGCCGTCGCGCAGATGACGTCGAGATAGCGCCGGAAAAAGTACATGTCATACGTGACGGCAAATGCGTCGCGTTGATGCCGTCCCGCCAACGCCAGGTGCCTGTCATACGTAGCGTCTTCCGGGCGCATTTGCCGTTGCGGCAATTATGTTATTACCAAGATGGACATCATCCAGTTGGGTTGTATCAGCTTTTTGCACATTTTAGATACATATGAAGAGTATTATCGGATGAATCCAAGACGATGGGGAACCCATCCTGTGCTTTCTTCTCGTTTGTCGACAGGACAGTTTCATCTGATGTTCCAGGAACACAGGAAGTATGAAGATAATTTTTTTAGTTACTATCAAATGTCGGTCGTACAGAGGTGGCAGTTTTTCAACAAATACAATTTTCCGTATCAAACATCGTATCAAATATCGTAATGATCACTCCAAAGGTGTTCCAGTTGTTCTGACAGTGCTCACGCGGCAAATGCCCCGCTGGCGCTAGCGCTCCGTATGACAGGGTCCCGCGTCACGTGCGCCGCGTCGCTGGCGCGACCGTCCGCGTTGGCTGCGCTCAGCGTCCGGCTAACGCGGACTCGCCGACGGCATTAGCGTCCGTATGACATGCTTCATAAGAACCCCATTGCCGGGTCGGAGCGACTTTAACGCGACGGCATCTGCGCGACGGCAATAGCGCTCGTATGACATGGCCCTTAGTAGATTTCTCATCCTAATGGAACAGCTGAAGACAATTTTATTGTTAGTTCTGTACGGTTTATGTTAGAGGTCGTGTTTTGTTTACAATTTGTTTCCCGTTAATACAGTCATTTAAAACCTCGTTTAACCAAATAATACGATCTAATCATAAACAATAAATTGTCCCCTAGTTATTTAACCAAACAGTAAAGCACAAATCAAGAAATTAACCCTAAAATAATAGAAACTAAATTTCGTCGTTACTAGCGCCTTTGTGTCACGTACATGAACTAGACACGAAAATCGTGCTTCAAAATTTACAATGGGATGAGAAGTCTACTTGTGTTGGTTAGTCTATGCCAAAACTCAACTCGAAAATATTGACAAAAAGAATACTTCTTCCATATTATAGGTACTGTGTAGGCCTGTAGGGGGATAAAGTAAAAATTTATGTCCATAAGAATAATAACATTGGAACTGAGGGCTTATACGCCATATAAGGCTTAACCCTTTTGCAAAATGTTTTTTGAAAACTATTTAAGTTTACTATTTTTTACCTTAATAATGAATATCCTATACAGATCAGAGTTTCTCAAAGTGTGGTCCGACAACTCCTAGGGGTCCGCAAAAAACATTCTAAACAAATTTATTTTTAATTACACCAAAAGCCCTATTTCTGAAAATATAAGTTTCAGTTTGCATTACAAACTTACATAGCAAGCTCAACACATGCCTATGATCAGCAGATAAATATTGGGTTTGGGTGGTAGAGGGTGGGGTAGTTGTAGGTTGTCCGGATTACATACATAATTAATTATGGGATTCCTTGAGTAGGCGAACTTTGAGAACCCCTGTTATAGATGACTCACTTTCACTATGATTATCAATACTGTACTATTATTTGGTTGAATTAATAAAACTAACCATATATTCGCTTAGATACATAATGACCCTGCTGATTGTCCGAACTTAAGTTTGGTCCAAAAACAACCTGTTAAGAGTTTTGAATGTAGTTACAATACAACGCCAATATACTAATGCCACAGTGGCTTTTTCTTATCCAACTTTTAAAAGGTTACTAATTTAAAATAATAACTTCGCCAATATTTCTGAATTTTTAATTTTTATGAGGCCTTTCGCCTTTTAAAAGGTTGTACAAAAGTTCTTAAAATGGTTTTACAGACAGAGAAGCATTAATCTACACTGACTTTATATCTGGTGTAAATATAAAGTCAATGATAGAAGTATGATAGAAGTACCCATGTAGGCCCAAGAGACTCATTAGGCTGCTTAATTAAAAGATTTTCACATGGGAAATTTGGTGCTTTAGAAAGATGTATCACAATTTTAGACAAAATATAAGCTTTATTCATAAAAAATAGTTTTGTAGAAGTTAACGAGTAGATCACAGAAAACAAATACAAAAATGCATAATGCAAATTCATGAAGTCCTGTATAGACGACACTTATTAATAAAGTGAATATTTTGATTTTCTGAGATGATATGCCACTTAAAAGGAGAAGACTTCCGAGAAACCTTGACGTTTCCGGGATTGGCAGGCCGAAGAAACTACAGACTGCAAGCTTTGTCAGGAGAAATGCAATCACCAGATTCTGAAAATTCAGATTATAATAAGCAGATTTTTAAAACTGTTGAGGTATATTTTTAAACAACCACCTTAATTGTTCATTACCATTAACAGGTTATCAAGAACATAAGAGACGTTCAGATGTAATTAAAATTTTAAAAGCGACAAATTTCATCATATACATTTAAACAGGTTATGATAGATTTATAATCTGAAAAACATTAACCACTTAAACATTTAAGTTATGGTACATCAGTATACTTACGTTGGCACATATAAAATGACTGTCAAGTTCAATGGATAAACGAAACAAAATAGCCATGGATATGTATACAAGGTTGCTAGGCAAATAGCTTGCAGAGTGTTTGTCATTCTCTATCAATCCACTTGTACTGGAGAGGAATTCAAATTGTTCTGATATTGACGACTCATTGTAAGATTCTTCTACCCAAGCTCTCGGTGGAATGCTACACGGAACAGTTTCTTGTTGCTGTTTAACAGATCCGTTTGATATGAAGTTACCAGAAAAACTAACGAATCCATTTTCTTCAAGATGAGTAGTAGTTTCTGTAAAAGGAGCATAAATTAATCACACAGTTATCCTATACGGTACTATTATATTAGCAATGTTTGCTTGCATGTATAAATACTTGCTTGCACAAAGATATCGAAAACAAATTTGACAATTTCCTTAAAATTTTGCATAGAATTTATTTCCGTCCTAAAAGCGTGTTTATTGCAGTTAAAACTGCTAACAAAAATTTAATTACGTAAAAAAAAGAAATTGAAAGTCAAATCTTTTTAATATTGGCCTTATGGGTTGCTAAGTAACTTAACCATGTTGGTTGAACAAAATAACAAGGAAAAAGTCAACAAAAGCAAAAGACATGTGTTTATAACAACACTGAAGATTAGTAGATAGCCAATAAGTGAAAATACTTCTAATCAAATAACGATCATTAAACTTGGCTCTCTCCTACCAAAACTTTACTCCCCGAAGTAATCAGATTTTAATTTAAACAAAATGTCAAAGAACTGTTTATGGAAGTAGGCTTATAGGCTATTATAAACGAGTGATTTCTACCATTGACTGTAAAATAAATTAATGTTTTGTGGATTGCCAGGATAAAATTACCATCATAATAAATTTGAATTCCACGGAAACATAATAAAAGCAAAGATTAGTTGTAGGCTAAAAAAACGTGAGCTTCCTTTATATTGCTTTTACAATAATTGAAATAAACTATACCAAGCCATACGTATGGCTCTATCCACCGGTAATCAACATTAAACACTTAGGTGTTTAACATCACCAAAAATTATGAATTTATAGATGGGTAGGAGAAGGGCCTAGGTGGATTAGCCATATTCTAAAAAATACACTGTGACATAATCAAAAATATTTTATCAACAACCATTGGCAAGGACTTCATCAAAGAAACCGTTTTTTAGTGCTTCAGAATAAATTTTACCATAAATAGGGAACGTTTTACTGTTGCATCAATTTATACAATAGATCTAGATCTCCATACCAGAATAACCTAGATCAGCATCTCAACAAACTAAATGAATATTTAATTTTTGAACAAATATTTAATAGGTACGGTACACATTCTTTGAAGCAAACAAACTCAGTCTAGATTCTCAGAAAACGAACTAGGCATATTTGTGTTTTCAAACAGCACAAAAGCAAAACTCTAAAAATAATAGACTGACTTTTTTAGGGGTGAGGCTGGATGATGGGCTTCGATGGGGGGCGCAGATTCATGGATTAGAGGTATCGCTTGCTCGGTGGAACAGTAGGAAAGTACAAGTCATGAAATTAAATAACCCTATACCAGGGTTTGAGCTGCAGTAGCATTTTTAGCATTTTGCTATATGTAGGCCTACACAACTTGAAAATTGTTTTTGAAGGCAATAGCAAATTTTCTACAAATAAAATTGAACCTATAATAATTGATATAAGATTTTGTAGACATCAGCGCGCCCAGTGTCCAGCACCAGCATGAACTACTTTAAACACGATAAACGAGCTTCAACTTTAACAAAGGATGGGAAGTGTACTTGTGTTGGTTAGACTAAAATAAAACATACCTCATCTTGCAGTTCAAATAGTGTGTTTTTTTAATCCACTATGTTTCGCCATGTTGGCATTTTCAAGTGGTATACAGAAACATTGAAACATTATACCATCCGAATTGGACTTGTCAAGTTGTAGAAATTTACATTTACACATAAAACTGTATATAAATTTAACACGCACGAACAAAACATTTTCATGTAGGCCTACAACACTTATTGCAACCTTTCACGGCACTGACAGAGACAGAACTCAAAGTTCTGTCTCTTAAATTATGTAAAATTATGTTAAAATGTGTAAAAATGGTGTAGGCCTAAGTAAGTTATAACTTATTGGAGTTTTGGAGGAACGAGGAACTGTGCTTAAGGTCAGATTTATTAAATCCGGCTAATATTTTGGACCGGAATTGCATTCCCCCACTTATTGTCCTCCAAAACGTCATTTTATACACTTTTTACACAACTTTTTACAGCCTTGCATAAGGCCCATGACAATTTTTTTATATTTTAAATTCATTTTTTGTGCTTAAGTTATTTTGAGTCTATTTAAATTTTTAAGGGGATTCTTCACATATACAGGAAAATATCTTTCCACAGTATGCGTAGATTCGCCCTGCGATGTGCATGAGCTGAGAAAAAGGGTTTTGAAGAATTGCCTATTAATATATAACTAAGAGGATATTATAATTTCTTTCAAACTGAAGTGCGAGATATGCAAAGCTGTTTTATATTTTAGATTTTTGTCATTGAATGTGCATGAAGAACTGTACTAAGGTAGAAATAAAAAATATTGCTACAGCTCTAACGACTAAATGCATTGGAAATGTATGCAATACATGCATATTAAAATGTACAAAACACAACTGCGCAAGGTTTGAAAACATCTTGCCTATTTAAAATATTTCAAATTATCGGTAGCCTATCAATACTTAGTGTATTGATTTTTCATTTCGATAATACATAAGAGGTACACAAAAACTGTTTGTTCATACAGATATTGGGATTGCTATTTTAGTTTTATATTTGTTATCCAATATGTTTTACGTTTAGTATTAGTTTTAATAAGCTATGAAACGTGTATTTTCTCAATCAGAACGCGTTACTTGACCAAGTGTAAATGTATAGCCCTAACAAACCTACTCATCTTGACGCGGACCTTCTAGAGGGAAGTGAAATAAAATAGGGTATAAAATAACATGTTGACTGGGCGACAAAAGTGTTGCCAAAAGCTGAGATTTTGTCACCCAGTGGCTACGGGTGGTGCCGGCATTATTATTATTTTTTTTTTATGATTCACATTTTAAATGTATTGGAATCTAAAAAATAACATTGCCTATATAAATATTTTATAGCATTAAGCTATGATTTTGGCCCAAGAGGTTGTAAATGGAGACTTGGTCTGTTCAACATTCTAGAATATGTAATTAACTTAACCCCTAGAGAGTGTTGTCATGATTTTTATAACACATTTGGTGTCTTCAGTCTGCGAGACCGTTATAGATTTTTTGGAAATATTTTGTAGCCTATACAACTAAAATCATAAAAGATAAAACTGTTTCAAATTATTACTACTATGTTTCAATTTAGGTGTTCACGTAATAGGGCTGCTGATATATTAAATTATTGTAGTAGGCTAAATAAGTACAACTGAGCATCCTGAATATTATATTTTTAAAAGAAGTTAATATTATAATATTATATTAATATATAATATAGGCCTAATATATTAATAATATTCTTAAATATACTTAAATAATATACTTAAAAATATAATATTCAGGGTGCTCAGTTGTACTTATTTACTACAATAATTTAAAATTACTCCTATACAGGGTGTCTCAGACCACCCGGCCGGCTTGTATGGATTCAATATGAAAGCAAATGGAAACCCAATTGCAACTGGAACCCCCTATTTTGACCCCAAGGAATTCAGCTAAATTATTTTCAACCCCAAAAAAGCACCCCAAAGGGCAGATTTTGGGGGGTGGGGGTTGTTTTTGGGAAATTTTCAAATGTAAAGGGGGGTCGTGTTATACCTCAGTTTAAAGGTCCTTTAGTCCTGAGTATTTTAGTGGAAAAAGATTTAAATTATCTTCATCCCTATTTACAGGGTGTTCAAAAATGTACAAAAAGTAGACCTTTGAACTACTTTTCACTGTAAAGAGGTGGAATTTCATGGGGGGTTCAAATTTTGATAACACTTTAATTGCTAAATGAGCTTTCAAAAAACTCTGGTTTCAACCCATTTGCTATCTTTTTACTTATGTTACGCATTTTCAAACTTTTTGAAGTTTCAAAAGCTGTTATCTCAAAAATTTCATATGGCAACATGGGTTTCATTACAAACTACATTGTAGCCCTTAAAATAAGCTACAAATTTTGTATTTAATGTTTTTTGGTATCTTCATTGGTTACAGAGATATAACGAAATTAGTGTATTTTAATGTTTTATTAAATGGTATTCAAAGTGTTTGCTGTTGTAAATTTACACCTCTAGGTCTCAATATGTAGGCTATTAATGCTGATTCAAACAAATTATTCTTTCAAAGCACTATTAGAGTCATGGAATTGTAAAATAACGAGAAGAATATTTGGAGTTGTGTTCTTTCCTTTATCAATCTTCCAAGATCAACAATCTGAGTACTATTTTGTTTTTTTAGACAAAATTAGTTTTAATTGAGACCTAGAGGTGTACATTTACAACAGCAAACACTTTGAATACCATTTAATAAAACATTAAAATACACTAATTTCGTTATATCTCTGTAACCAATGAAGATACCAAAAAACATTAAATACAAAATTTGTAGCTTATTTTAAGGGCTACAATGTAGTTTGTAATGAAACCCATGTTGCCATTTAAAATTTTTGAGATAACAGCTTTTGAAACTTCAAAAAGTTTGAAAATGCGTAACATAAGTAAAAAGATAACAAATGGGTTGAAACCAGAGTTTTTTGAAAGCTCATTTAGCAATTAAAGTGTTAGGCCTATCAAAATTTGAACCCCCCCTTGAAATTCCACCTCTTTACAGTGAAAAGTAGTTCAAAGGTCTACTTTTTGTTCATTTTTGAACACCCTGTAAATAGGGATGAAGATAATTTAAATCTTTTTCCACTAAAATACTCAGGACTAAAGGACCTTTAAAATGAGGTAGGCTATAACACGACCCCCCTTTACATTTGAAAATTTCCCAAAAACCACCCCCACCCCCCAAAATCTGCCCTTTGGGGTGCTTTTTTGGGGTTGAAAATAATTTAGCTGAATTCCTTGGTGTCAAAATAGGGGGTTCCGGTTGAAATTAGGTTTATATTTGCTTTCATATTGGAGCTATACAAGCCGGCCGGGTGGTCTGAGACACCCTGTATATGTTTACATGTTCATGAGGTTTATCGTGAAATAAACTCCCTCTGAGTGTTGTTAAAATAATTTTGAAAAAACAAATACATGTATCAAAAGTTGGTGAAGTACAACTTTTTTTTAAAATAACTTAGGTACTGTTTTTAAATTAGGTACTTAAGCCTTTACTGATATATTATGAATGTTTATGAACTAACTTAGTTTATGTAAATAAACATGAACCATCAGAATTCCGTCTATTTTTAAAGATTGACTGAGACTTCAAATAATGCCTATTTTACCCATAGAGTAATGGCAATTTTGATTAGCTACACTATTGGTGTCTTCGGACTGTGAGATAGTTTTCGTATTTTATAAATATTTTATGTGGTAATATTATTCATTTTCAACGGTGTCTTCGGTCAGTTTGACCAATCACGAGTTGGGTGTCTTCAGTGTATGGGACCGAATTACACAATTACAGACGAATCTGTAACCTCAAAATTTCGCCCAAGCATCTGGTGGTAGACTGAGTTGAGGTAGGAAGGTAGCAGGAGACACAAGTCCTGAATCCTAGCGGGGGGAGCAGGAACTTAAAAATAACAAGCAAATAGCCTAGGCTAAGTACAATCAAAAAATTCATTAAAATATGTATTACCCTACGTAGAAATGTGTGATTTTCACTTTAATTTATGCAAAAATTTCCGGAAAGGAACCCCCGGACCCCCTTTTTGAATACCCCCCGGTAAGTCTGGCACCACTGTCGCCCAGTGGAAGTCCCTTAAAACATGCTCTGGTATACACCCCTGAGTTTTTAATGCTTTTGTGTGGTTACTATTGCATCCCGGCACGACACACTTATGAGGCATAAAACACTACTAATACCATAGGTGTCTCCAAATTGTGTAAAACAAACAGGTCAATCACCGGTGATGCACAGTCTAGCAGTGCAGACCAATGGCGGGAGCCGGCTGGACTGTGCCTTTGATGCGACGGTGCCAGATTTCGCTCGCCGCAGCCTTAGCCTATTACTAGAGATGGCTTTGGCCAAACCTATAATTCATCTAATGAATAACTTAAACTTAGCCTACTTTTTGCTAAATTTCCCGACTGACAGGCTCTCACTTAATAACAGTCGATAGGCTATTTTTGTTGTTTTATCATAAATTAGCTTCACTACCTATCAAAGCAAGGACTAAGTTTACTTTAACTCCAAACGTAAGTTTTCAATTTGGCCTATATTTGAACTATTAGGCAACTGCAGTGTATGTTTCCATAAAACCCTTAAATTAGGCCTAAGTTACAATCTAACCTGTCTTTTCTGTGTCATCTTTTCCTGTGATGCGTTTTAATCTGTTTTCCGAGTTTTCCAATATCTTCCGTCTTCTAGCTTCTCTACGAACTAATAAACTGTCTGTAGACATACCTGTCACACCTTCATTTCACATTTACTAATAAATTGGTAATTCGAGGGCAAATAACTAATTAAATCCTACTAATTATGATATGATGCTTTGTTGATCAATGTGGACATTTTTGGACAAACACCCGATCGGTGACGGTGATCGTGATCTATTGTTTTCGTTTCTGTCTGTTTGTTTAGTTTGTCGTTTGTTTGTCTATGGTAGTACAAGGCCCCACTGGGGCCGCACAATTTGTTTTTCAGGATTAATTTTGCCAACAGTGTCATTTAGAGGCTTCTGATTGACTATAACGAAGGTTTAGTAATTGAAAAATTATTTTTGTTCAAGAATAAAATTATAAATGCCTCAAATTCAATTTTATATTTTTTATTATGAAATTAAACCGTCATAACCTAACCAAACCAACCAAACGTGCTGACAATGAAAAAATCTAATGAAGGTTTATTAATCGAAAAAAATAGTTATGTTCATAAAATAAAATTATAAATGCCTCAAATCCTATTTTTTATTTTTTATTCTAAAATTAAACTATCATAACCTAACCAAACTAACCAGACTTGCTAATAATGAAAAATCAAATGAAGGCTTAACAGAAAAAAATATTTCCGTTCATAAAATAAAGCTATAAATGGGTCAAATTCAATTTCATAATGTTTTAATTATAAAATTAAACCGTCATAACCTAACCAAACCAACCAAACTTGTTGATAATGAAAAAATCCAGTACAAAAAATAGTGCTACGGATGGGATTCGAACCCGGGTCCTTCGGATCATCAGCCCAGCACTCTATCCACTACACCACCGAGGTCGTTAGGATCAATCGAATCGTCGCTGTAATGATGTTCTCTCAGCCAATCAGAAGCCTCAAAATAATACTGTAGGCAACACTGATCCTGAAATAAAAATTCAGCAGTGGGGCCTTGTAGCGGAAGGTAACGACGGTTGTTTATTTAGTTTTGTTTGTACAAAAAAAACTAAAGCACGGGTCACACTAGGCTGCTCGCCAGCCACCAGCACCCCCATCCCCACCAAGCAGCGGCTTTTCCACGGGTCACACTAGGCTGCTTGTCAGCCGCTGGTGATCGTGATCGTGATATTAACGATGTGTGAGAAGGAAAAGAACAGCTGTGAGGTTTTGTAACAAATAAATCACTGTAAGCTGATTATTTGATGTGTTTACTTCTTTAAAGAAACGTCCCACAAGCAAGTTTAGTTTTGGAATAAATTTAAGAAATCAATAACCTGCTTCCCCGACCACCTAAGCTCAGTAATTTCTATGCTACAAATACTACTTAAAAGTTTAAAGCCAAGTTCTTGTCGCCATTTCGTTCTTTTTTGGGCCCTCATTCAGCACTTTATATTGAGGATGTGGGTGAAAGAGAAATAGTTTCATTAAAAGATGCTTAACCTCGAGAAGAGACGTTAGTGAATCAGGTCTTGGTTACAAATAAAAATACTTTTTAAAAATAGGTACCACTTTTTAAACGCACTAAAAAAAGAATCAGAAACATACCAAAATGTTTTACGAATGTCACCAGTCACCACATACATTTCAGGCATTACTAGAATCAAGTTAAGCCTCTAATTAAAAAATTGAGACAGTTGCTTTTGTCCTTTTGTGTTAAACCAAGCTGGAAATTATCTTTGGTCGCCGCTGGCACGCTTCTAGAGGTGGTCAGACTACGCTGCTGGCTGCTCGCAGGTGGCCACGTGACCTCTAGTCGCCGCTGCCTCGCTACCAAAAGTTAAGCACGGGTCACACTAGGCTGGCATCAGCGGCGAATTGAAAGAAGCTGCGACTGTCAGCTTAATGTGACCACAAAATTCGCAGCTGACACTGAGCTGACTCAGCCTGGATTGGTGAGCCGGCGATGCTGGTGCCAGCTGCTGATCACCAGCGGCTGGCAAACAGCCTAGTGTGACCCGTGCTTTAAACATGTCCAACTTCGCCAGCCGCTGTCAAATACTCGCCTGCTAGCGATGCCAGCTGCGAATTTTGTGGTCACATTAAGCTGACAGTCGCGGCTTCTTTCAATTCGCCGCTGATGCCAGCCTAGTGTGACCCGTGCTTTACCACTTACCATTTACCATCGAAGTCTTCGCCGCAGTCCTTGGAGACCGGGGAATTGTCAATTCTTTTTCATCTTTCTTCTTGCTTAACACACATACACATAACACACATACCCGTGCTTAACACATGATATAGGATAATAGGAAAGAAAGGAGGACTAAAATAAACAAATGGTGAAGGAGTACACTAGACATGGGTCCCAAACAAGTAGTGTGGCCTTGGTCCCAATCCCAAATGACCGACATCCAAAATGACCGAAACGGAAATACTAGACAAATTTGACTGACTGACGTCCCAAAAGCACAGTCCTGTATGTGGCGCTCCATAAGGCCTGTGCATTTCCCGTCGCACCGCCCCACCTGGTACTGTTTGTGTTGTGGCTGGCCGATATGTTGGTTAGTCTTTTTAATTTCAAAAACTCAGGTTCACACAAAGCATGCAACAGGTAATACACTAAAAAGAAAAATAATTTATATTAGGTACAACCACTTAAGCTCCAGTGGGTACAACAGGTAAATATGGTAAATATTTATATGAAGTATTATAGAATAGAAACCTGTCATAATTTTATTCAAATGACCTACTGGTCTTTGAAAATAAAAACAGCTGTTTCTTTTCGTTTATAGGTCTTTTTTTTATTGAATACGCTGGTCAGGGATTGGGATTGGGACGGGACGGTACGGGACAGAGTTTATCTGTCAAACTAGGAAGAATTTCAAATGTCAGAGCCTAGTTCAAGGATGTTCCTCTTTCAGGTGAAAGTTCGTATTTTATGTGATAAGACTCTCAGAGAAAGTGTGCAAGGCTGGAAAATGAAATGCAGGTGAAGTTTGGTACATTTCTTTTTGTTTTAGTCTTACGGTCTTACTCATTTGCGTGATAGTTTCTCAAGTTAGTTAGGTTCTTTTGATCTTACTATTCAACATGACTTTAAAGAGTGAAGAGAAGAACGTGCAGTTGGAATTTATTTTAAAATCCCTACTCGCTGGTGGTAAGTAAACATAAAATTTATTATACTAAAGCCATTTTCATTCCTTTAAGAGCTGATTAAATATTTAAATTTGTTGTTAGCACTAATTTTCTTTATGTTAACCTATAAGATTCCATCTTAGCCTAGCCCATTTAGGCCTACAATTTAACACACTAACAGTGGCCAATCACAAAGTAGGCCTAAGTTATATTTGTTAACTTACCATTTTGGTTGTTAAATAAACTAAGTTTGTCATCTAGTCCTATTTTTTTTGTTTTTTAGCGAATTTCCCTATAGGGAAGTAGCTATTACCGTAGGTGGCACGGTAAGACCTAGACCCGGGACCGATTTACTTTTTCATTTTGATGTCCCCAGAGGCCAAGAACACTATTCATTCAAATTTTTATATATGTATTTATATATATATATATATAGACTTATATATATATATATATACGTCCGTGAACGTGATAACTTGAGTAATTTTTGTCCGATTTTGATGAAATTTGGTTTAAAGGTGTAAAGCGGGATAAACTTGAATGAGTTCGCGAACCAGCACGACCGGACCATGGGAACGGGGCTTTACGGGGGGTTTTATAGGGTAAAAATTGGTTTTTCTCACTTTTGCCCCTCAAAACACAAAATTTCCCAATTTCTGTTTAGACCTTTTTAAAGAGCTTAAAAAAACAAATAATTTAGTATATAAAAGTATTTTTGTTCAATTATTAGTAAAGGAGAAAATGTAAAAAATTGTAAATTTAAAATTCCCATGTTATTCTTATGGAGAATATTGTCAAATGTTGTAGTTTGCTTGTTTATGAATATATTTTGATCAAACTTGTCAAATTTTTTTATTTTGTACTAAGCTATCAATATTTTACTCAAAAACACACTTTATTTGTTTCCTTGTAGCAGCAAACCTAGGTACTTGTTAAACCTAATGTTATTAAAATATAATTTAACTGAAAATCAATTCAGACAAATGGAAATTCGCTTAGTCGGCAGGTTTGCTGCGGCGGGGGTATTTTTCTGTAATTTTATACACTAAGTTTAAGTTTATTTATTTTTGTTGTATACCCTAACAACAATCGTTACTTTGTTAGCTTACGTTGGTCTATTCTATCCAAACCTAAGATTCCTTAACCAGCTGAAAGAAGTTGTAATCAGGCATTTTTCTCTTGAATTTTTTTTCTTCCATATAAGAAAATCTCAAGGTAAGTTTACCCATGCACTTTTGAGAAAACTACACGTCACACCCCCCATAAACCATATAGGCCTACTTAAAATGTTCTTCATGACGAGAAATCTTGCACAAAACTATCCATTATTTCAAAAATTGCTCTTTAAGGTCGTAATTCCTTTCTAAAGGGAACTTTCCAATTACAGTACCTAATGTTAAAAACTAGTGGTCGTCCAGTGGTCGAAACTCGACCTAAAATATCCAATGTACAGGCTTCTCTATTTTCACCCCACGCTGTAAATAAAACATGTGATTGTGATTTCTTCCATTTGTTTTGATTTTCTGTTTATATTTTGTTGTTATTTCGTCGCCAACATGGCAACCCATAAAGCCCATGTAAATTTTTTTAAAATTTCAAATCCATTTTTTGTGCTTGTATTTGAGCCTATTTTAATTTTTAAAGGGATTCTGCACTTCTACAGGAAAATATCTTTCTAAAGGTATGCGTAGATTTTCCCTGCGATGCACACGAGCTGAGAAAAAAGGTTTTAAAGAAACATGCTTGCCTATTAATATATAGATAGATACCTCAGCTGTACTGTGTCATTTGTTTGTTATTCTTTGAATTTATTACCTTATTAACCCTTTGAGTGCCAACGTCCGGGGAACCGGACGTTTTTAAAACGAGCCAAAAGTGCCAACGTCCGGCCGACCGGACGTTTTTAGAACGAGCCAAAAGTGCCAACGTCCGGCTGACCGGACGTTTCGTAATGATCGAACAGCTGTCATAACAACCGAATAAATACTCGGATTCTTTTAACCCATATATTAACATTGAGTCGAAAGTTGCTAGATGCGATACATCGATTTTCGTTGGTCGAAATATCGAAAATTCGATTTTTACGAAATTTTAACCTAAAAATCGCCAGATCGCGCTCGGCATTTTTAGCGCGACCTTCGGGAAAAATCATCGGCATTTTTTGAGCGTTACTTTTATTTCTCGCCTGGCACTCTAAGGGTTAAAATCAGGTGTGATTGTATTACTGTATTCTGTTTTGTTTATTTTAGCCTTAACCAATCAATAGTTTTATTAATCTTTTGAATTCAAATGGGGTGAAGCCCGTGGGTAACAGCTAGTTTATGATAACATCTAATTTGAAAAAAGCAGCAACAAAAAGCTGTGATACACAATGAGAACTATCAAATACTTAATTGTTGAGCTATTGCGAAAATAGGGTAATTTTATTTTTAAGTGCACAATTAATCAACTTACCGGTATTGATTTTTTTTTTCAAATTAAAAAAAAAGTATTGTGTTTGTTTTCTTCTTTAATAATATCTGCAAAACGGAGTAGTGTGTTAATAATTTTAGTGCATTAGGTAATGATACAGTCAATGACTTAGATGGAAGGAACTAATATTATAGATATGAATGTTTGAAGTATATATGTCAATAACGTGAAAACTACTTGACCTGAATTGAGCTGATTTTTCCATGAATAGAGCGAATATTATAACCACAGGCTTAGTAAATAGGCTACTCTTTGACAGCTCATTAAGTCCAATGTTGTTATTCGAAGTAACCATGAAAAGCCACTCAAAATGCCACCCAACCCGGTATGGCAATCAATAGTTTTATCATATTTATGAAGTCAAATGGAGCAAAGCCCGCGGGTACAGCTAGTCGGTTATAACTTAGTTTAAAATTTAGCAGCTGATCCAATTATGTTATTTGTTTTCTCATTTAAACTTTACATTAGTATCTTTTCTTCTGCTAAGTAAAACTTTGGTTCAAGGTATAATTCTTTTCTCTCTAAAGCTGGGTTTTCCTAGGCGCGGAAGGGGAGAGCGGACTTCTCTCCTCTTAGGTAATTTAATGTTACTGTTTTCTTAGAAGCGGAGTGGAACTCCATGTTAATTGCTTCTCCACCCTACGCTCTCCGTGCGCCTCTTCCGCGTCTAGGAAAACCCGGCTTAACTTATATTCATAGCCAACTTTGTTCAGTCACTTTTAAGGTACCGGTATTGTAGTTATTTATTTAAACTCACTCATGGACCATAGATTCTTATGGATGTTATTACACGAGGGTAGCCAGCGATGTAGCCACACTTTGATGACCGACTTGCTACTGAGCCCCTTCGCCACTGGGCTATAAAACAGGAAACATTCTGGCTACTGAACTGGCTAGGTGTTGTAGCCAGTGCGTCGCTGGTGACGTCGCCAAGCTACCTCAAGTAATAAGGCTCTAATGCCCCCAATTACAATTATAGCCTACATTGATCAAAATAACTTACTGCATTTAATTTCTCCACCTAATTACCTAAAAGATAATGTTATTTACAATTGAGGTTATTCTAACTATAGAACCTTTAAAAGTGAAATGTACCATTAATATTAATTAACTTATTGTAGGCTGGATATTAAATGATTTTTCATGGTATTATAGTGTTAATTTGTTAACAAATAACACCATGATGATTTAAACAATTCAGTGCTAAGCAATAATTTTCTGTTTTTGTTCTATAGGGGTTGCTGGAATGGTTTCGAAAACAACTGTTGCTCCTCTGGATCGTATCAAGATCCTGCTGCAGGCACATAACAACCATTACAAACATTTAGGTGAAGTAGAGAAAAACATATACGTCATTAATTAAAAAGTTTATATATAAGCTAATATAATATAACTAAGGGGCATGGTTTTAGCAAATTTCCCATATAGGGAATAAGCTTTTACTGTTCTGCGTACGGGATCTTATAGTCTGTTGAAACCTTTTGATATTTAAAAAAATATCAATCACTTTTGTATAGTTTCCCAGTCCTTTTCCCGGTTATCAATACTCAAGTAACGTACAATTTGAAACATGTTTTAAATGAAATCTAATTTGTTGGAAAACATAAATAGCCTATGTATGCTGTATATTGTCAACCTCCTAAACAAATTAAAAACCCCTGAGCATAGCTCGGCCTCCTGGTACCCTGGTTTTTTACATATGGGAAATTAATTTTTATAAGACTTGGAAATATTTGACTTAAAATTAAATTAGACAAATTGAAATTTGCTTGGTCTTTAGGTTTGCTGGGGCGTGGGTGTTTATGGTTTCCTTTAACCAAAGAGTGTTAAAGAGGTCAGGAAAATAATCATGCTGTCATGAACATTAAACTAACATTGAACCTAACAAGGCTAAGCACTTCACCATTTTAATAATTTTATTTTTATTTTGACAAAGCACCTATCCTGAATGTTATTACATGTACAGTGGTATTGGATGTGTTGTGCAATAATAAATCATTTCTATGTCATGACTATAACTTTTGATTTGCAGGTGTTTTTTCTGGACTAAAGGAGATAGTAAAACGAGAACAGTTTATAGCTTTATACAAAGGCAATGGAGCGCAAATGGTTAGAATATTTCCATACGCTGCCACCCAGTTTACAGCTTATGAAATATACAAAAAAGTAAGTTGTATGACAAACCAAGGCCCACTAGAAAAACAGGCCATGCTGCAGCACGGGCAGCGCAACACTACGTCACAGTGGTGGATAGTTGTACTAAAATCTTACGGTTAAAATCTGACGAACAGCCAGCTTATTTACCTAAAACATATGGGATATTGCAGTGAATCTATCAACAAATCTATCCACTAGTGTGACGTCATGGATCCTGCAGCATGACCTGTTTTTTAGTGGGGCCTTGGACAAACACATAGAAATATTATAAATTATTTGAGTTGATTTTTATTCGTTGAACAATTTAATATGATTGAAACAATACATTGTGTGAACAGTTATGATACAATTGCAGAATTAATCTCTTTTTAAGATTGCCGAATAACCTACTGGATTTATTAACTGGTCCACAACTCTATTGAACGCTTATTTTACATTCAATTGTTTTGAAAAAAGTTGAGTAATGCAGTTCAGCATCGAAAGGGGGTTGATTGTGCACTGAAAGTGTAACAGATTTTGTTTCTGATTGATGTTGGGGGCATTTTTGAGATCAGCATGTATAGCTTACGACTGTGGGGGGAAAGTAGCATGGTTTCTAATACAGCGCCCATATCTCACAACTAGACTAGATGAAAACATGCTCTTTATGGCATTTTATTTAGGAAATAGTCCAATAATATGAGGTCAAGTAGCCTATTTTCTTTCACAGTTTTAGGTCTCCTGCATGTTCTAAAGAGGTTTAGGTCTGCACAGGAAAGTCAAGTCATTTACAATGTTATTTATAGGAATAAAATAGAGGAGAAACTTTTTTTTTTGGGGGGGGGGGTTAAAATTTTAAAATTCAATTTATTAAAATTTTACTGGCAGTTTTAGCCTAAGACCAACAACTGGTCCAAAATTCAAGCCTCTTTTCCTTCTAGAAGTGGTCTAAATGCCTATATTTGTGTCAGCCAGTAATTTTATAATTATGTTAAATTACTTAGGTCATGACACAATTACAGGACTTTTTCTTGTAACATTCATGAAAGTGTAAAGTGTATAATGTTTATAGCAATATGAAGTTTATAACGTGTTTCTATCATGTGTGGTTTGTGAGTAAAAATCACTGTTTTTGTTTTAGAATGTGACCATGTGCTAATTTTACCCCCACCTCCTCATTTCGTTCACCTGCTTGGGAGGGAGACACCATCAGTTTTAGTAACCTCTAAGATAACTCCAACAATCAGAAGTCAAAATGCGTCACACTTTCAGTGCATACTTAACCCTTTAGATGTTGGACTATTTATTTGGGGAGTTATTTAAAATGTGTACTTTCATTTGTTTGATTTTTAGAATTGAAAAAATATAATGTTAAATACATTTGTAACTGGGATGTAAATATGTTTTACCTGTCACATATATTACAATTTGACTATTACATTATTACAATCTTCAATTGAAAAACCTCGTTTTATTTCACAATAACACCTAGCTGACAAGAGCGTTTACAAACCATTGCAAGAAGATCTAACTGACAAATTCAACACTGAACTAACAAATTGGCTAAGCAAAGAAGAACCATAATATCTCTCCGGAATCTTTGAATCTGCTAATAAACCAAAATCCCACCACCCACAGTTTTACATCCTCCCACGGAACCTAACTCAATTAGCTGGGTTTGAAATTAATACGTTAGCTCAATTTCTATGATTGAACATTCCAAAATGTTGGTATACAAGGTTGTGTTGTGTTGACAGTGGAGTGAGGTAGCGTTGGGATCAAACTCTCACATCGGGAAATTCCTGTCAGGTTCGGCCGCGGGGGTGACAGCTGTTCTGTTTACATACCCTCTGGACACAATCCGAGCGAGGTTGGCGTTTCAAGTGACGGGGGAACACGTTTATACCGGTATTGTACACACAGGACTCTCCATGTACCACCAGGTAAGTGTTTTGATTGTTTTTGTTCATAACTTGTATTGGTGTTTTAATTTTACTCTTTTTCCGCCTATGAAAAACATACTGTTTTTTTGGAATAGCCTACACTTAAGTTTTTCATGTAACTTCATAGGTGATGGGAACATATAAACGAAAGCCTACCATCATTCACGTTGAATTGAACGCAATGTTAAAGTTGAATTGTAATAGACACAAACATAGGCCTACAGCAATATGTATTGGAATGACGTCATGGCACCTTCAGCCCTGTTTGGTTGTTCCGCCATAAGACTGTATTGGGATTGGGATGGTCTGGCCGTCGTTCTTACCAAGCAAGCGACGATCAAAATAATTCATTACTGAAATAAATTACCTGAAAATTGTTATTGTGTATTGTTTTAAGTACTCATTAGAGTAATTTTAATGAAATTTTACTAAAGAACAATAGTATTTAATTTATTATCTATTGTAGTGAGGGTAGCGCCCAAGAGTCCTTATAGGCTAGCTGCCACTGAGTACTAGATGTCTTGCTGCTTCATTTGAAGGTTGTCAAGAGTATCTATAAATAAAAATGCACTCTTACTTACTTGGAGTGGCCACTGGTACCCTAAGAGGTACTTGGCCTCGCCCACACACTGCCTCCAGATGTCTCTGTCTTTGGTGTCATTTTCACTCCTTCCCAGTCTTCTTACATCTTTTTGTACTTGATCCTTCCATCTAAGTTTGGGACGGCCTCGTGGTCTCCTGCCTTCGGGGTTTCTATCAAGTACATTTCTCGTAGTGGAGTCTTCCTCTCTTCTCGAAATATGACCAAACCATCTCAATCTTCTGCTCTTGACTTCCGCTATGATGTCAGGGTCTTTATAGCGCTCTCTAATTTCAATGTTGTGTCTCATTCTCCATATTCCATCTTCGAGCGTCGGGCCATATATTTTCCTGAGAACCTTGTTTTCAAATGTTATAATTTTCTTTTCTATTTTTTTGCTCATTGCTAAAAATGCACTCGCACATAAAAAATACTTAAAAATTTGAGAGACAATAAAACAAGAAAAAAACACTGATAACGGGAGGAGAGGAGTACAACATTATCGTACAGATCATGGATCTTGTTGTGTTAACAACATGTAGGATGTAGGTGACAATATTATGGTGGAGGGGTCAAGAATGCCACATGCAAAACTTTCCCCCAAATTATCTTTGATTCTTATCATTGATTATATCTTGAAACTATATTTTCCAAATCAATCACTTCCCATTATTCCATATAAACGGGCTTTACTGTAAATATTTATATCATACAATCTACTGTTTGGTTTAGTAAGCCTACTACTGTACTAATATCTTTTATAATGGTGGAAGTGCGAAATGCTATAAAAAAACTGATTGAGCAATAGAGAAAGTTGACGCAACAAGATTATTTACGCAATGTATTAAACCAGTGTCTCTTAAATCTCTGCTAACTCTCCCTTGGTTATGCTAATTATCTTTACACAAGTCTTATATTTTACATATCTGCTGCCTGATTCATACATGCCTTTTAATAATCATAAATTCTATAGAAGATAATTGAGTAGGCCTTTTACAGTACCAGTACGATTTTAATAACGATATAATTTTTTGAAAGAACTGTGGACATTCATATTTTGGAAACTCATTAAGTGTTGTTTCAAAGTAAAACATTTGTTATGTAGGCTATCAGTGTTATACTAGTGACTCAATTTTTAATCTTGATCTAAATGTGCTTTGTAACATTCTTGTTTTGTGATAAGTTTATTTCTTTACAAAACTGAATTGAGTGAATTGAATCACAGTACTTTATTATCCATGATTTTATAAAAAAAAATATATATATATATATATATATATATATATTACTATTTTATTTATTTACATAAGCCAGTCCTAAATTTAGGACATTGAATTTTTTTTATGCAACATTTAGGCTACTATAGAAAAAGCTATGTAGGGTGTCCCGTAAGTAAACAGGCAAACTCTGGGAAAGGGTTCTTTCTATGAGTCAAAATAAAGAGAAAATCAAGAATAGCATTTTTCCCAGAATCGCTTCGTTTACCAGATATCCGCCATTTTGTATTGTTTACATACACATTTTTACTTTTGAATTTTTTCAACCGATTTTTATAAAACTTGGTATGTAGGTTAAGGTAGAGAAGACCAATGTTAGAAAAAAATTCATCTTGATTCAACTTAAAATTTCAAAATGGCTGAAATATTACAATTTTTAGTTGTAAAATGGGGCAAACCTGACTAGCTTGGTTGACTCATTAGCTGTTGGCTGAAGAAAGGGGAGACACCTTCTATAGCTTTGCTACTGACTGATTAGCTGCTAGTTATGGCCATTGCATTAAACACCAAAAGATGAAGAAAAGCTTGGTTGTAGCATATACCATCAAAAAACGACTGATTTTTCTCAGGATGGAACCGGTGATTAGGGGAGTACTATAACCACAGAGCTATACGGCAATATCAAAATGTTGAGGAATAAGTTTTCATGTTACATAATTTAATATGGTCTAACTTTACAATAAAATCAACCAAGATTTACCTGTTTCAGGAGGGGGGAATGCGTGCCTTGTACCGAGGGCTGTTGCCCACCCTCTGTGGAATGGTGCCATATGCAGGCTTCTCATTCTACTGTTTTGAAATGATGAAGTATTGCTGTATGAAATACTTGCCTCAGTACACTTGCTCGCCTTGCTCTAGGAATACAGGTTTGTTGAACCTAGGGAACTTGTAACTTGGTCTGGCCATATAGATTGTATTTGCCACACAGATTGTTGGACTAGTTACTTTATTCATTTTATTCACTACCAGAAGTGATTCAGTGGCTACACTGAAATATGTTTGAAACTTGGTTGATTTCAATTCTCTGTACCTCACAGATTTTGTAGCTTCACTGTTCCATTTTGAAATCTTATTGTCAAAAGTCTTGTAATAATGAGTAACATTGAACAAAACTAATAATAATGATTATAAGGATCAAAGTAAAATAATTACTTACATAATTTAGCATGTTGGCAGGGCCGATTTACCGCATAGGCACAGTAGGCACGTGCCTAGGGCACGAGGCAATTGGCTTTTGGGGGGCGCCAAATTATTGAAAAATAAAAATGTTGTGGTTGTATTTATATGAAATACAACCACTATTGTTTAACTTCTGATAGTCCCTCTCAATCGTATAGACATCGTAGTCATCCCCTGCGATTGCTGCCAATTTCTGACTTTTCCGGGGTCGTGTAGACATAATTATGCTCTTCCAGGATTGCGGCAATATATAAATATATCCCGCGGTCATGAGGAGATTATCGTTGGGCGTCTACCGCGTATGAGGCCAAATTGTGATCTTTTCTCGCAATCGTGTGACCTTATCATCGTCTTGCACGATCTCCATAAAATTCTAATCACCCCTCACAGCCGTGAAGACATCATTATATTGTCTCCTGTGGTCATTTGGACATAGTAATCGCCTACCAGTATTGCGGCAAAATAGTAATCATCTCCCGTAATTGTGGCAAAATGGTAATCATCTCACGCGGTTATGTGGATCATAGTATTCCGCGATTGAGAAAAAAAATTCTGATCTTTTCCCGGGGTCATGTGGACTTTTTCATCGTTTTTGCACAATCTCGGCATAATTCTGATCATCGCTCTCGGCCGTGTAGAAATCATTATTGTATCTTCCGCGGTCATTGTAATCTTCTCCTACGGTTGTGAAGATATCTTTATCGTCTCCCGCAATTGCGATAAAATGTCAATCATATCCTGCAGTTGTGTGGAGATTATCATCATGATCTTTGATCATGGCAAAATTCTTGCTGTTTCCCGCGGTCATGTGGACATTATCATCGTCTTCGATAATCGCAGCAATATTCTGATCATCCCTCGCAGCTCTGTAGATATTATTGTCTTCTGCAATTGCCTTCTAGAAATGGCACTGTTGTCATGCGCGACTGCGGTAAATTGAAAATTCCAGGTAGAAATACGAAATTCATTCGTAATTTCCGTGTAATTCCCGGTAAAAAAAAACTCACGCATAATTCCCGAATTTCCTGGTCGGTGGACATCCTGATTATATATATTGCAAAGTGGAGCTACTATTATTTGTGCCTAGGGCTCTGACAGGATCAAAAACGGCCAAAACGGGCCTGCATGTTGGCGAAACAAAACCAAATAGAATACCTGTATAGCGCATATGGGCTCCTACAATAACTGGGAATTTACTGTTTCCTAATAACTTAAATAAATAAATAACAACTACATTTACAAATATAAATTAATTACAACAATTATTAAATAATAATTAGATAATTTTCATTACTTATTTTAGGCTATTAATTTATGTTAGCAAATTGACTAAATTGAACACTAACTGTTGGTTTCCTCTATCATTTAAATTAATGTTGTCAATCCTACCATTGTTTCTATAAAATTTAAGAAAATGTTGTTGGTTGTTTAAAAAATTCTTTACTGAAAAAATCATAGTACTTTCATTACTCAATGTGCTTAAAAACCTGTTTAATTTCAAAACCTGCTCTGCTTTTGAAGGTGTGAATTGTGCTCTAGGGCCCCCTCCGAAATGATGGATATAAAGAAAAAAAATAGGTACCATAAAATAAATTATTTATCATGAATCATCCGCGAATTCATCACCATGGCAGACAGTGATAGTTTGTGCGAGTTCGGGTTGCTTCAGACGCCTGGCTATCTTCGCTTGCAGCAGTGGCCGCTAGAGATCAGCATATCTACCGACGACATGGGAGGGGAGTAATGAAGAGTTCAGCCAGTTCAGTAGTAGCCATTGTTATTTACATCCGTTTGACGTTGTACTGAAATGGTAACGTTTTGCAGTTTCCACAATAGAATACTTATACAGTAGTTAGAACTCCAAATTTGATAATCACAATCACGTATATGTCTCCTTAGGTTCGGATAAGTGTTTTCTGTTTACAGATGGGATGACACACTGTTAAATCTTGACCAATGTTTTTGATTTTGTAATTGACTAATTGAGATATTTTCTTCATTTGGCTTGAATAGATACATTTTTATAATTTAATGGACCAATTTAAAGATACAGCGTGATCTTGGTAAAGTAAAGGTTTAGTGCAAATTAACGTAGCAAAACTTAGATGAAGTCATGGCATGTCTACTTGATATTAATTAAGCTAACCTTAAATTCTCGACCCCCTTCAAAAAAATATTCGATATCCGCCACTGCAACATTTACTACTTTTTGTTTTACTAAACCATCTCAGACTTTTGCCACTTCGGACTGAATAACTTAAACATGGTTTGTGTAAAGGCATCAATACATTTTATTCCATTTCTAACAATCATTGCAATTAATTTACTGAATAATCCTGCAATTGATTAATAAAATTAATCCAACCACTATTAACCCCAACGTATCTGTATCATGATCATAAACACCGCAAATTTGAATTTTGTCTAAGAGTTTTAGAAAACTTTTGAATATTGCTTTTTTAACTTTTAATTAATTGCTATTGATTGTTTATCTACCTTGTTCCTTGACTCATCCACGACTGTCTGTGTCTCCTCTCTACCCCCCCCCCCTTGGGGACTACGGCGGATTGAACGGGTTGATTGCAGATCAGCTGTGACGCAAGCTTATCTCTTAGTTTATTGTAGGATGATAGGCGTTATATGGAGCCTTCTTCAGGCAGTCGTTAACCCCACCTTCAAAGCTTCTGATTAAAACTCATAAAAACACCGCACATTGTTCCACAGGTGGCCTAGTCCTGTCCTTGCCAGCCAAGCTGTGTTGTGGAGCGTTGGCAGGGGCTGTCGCGCAGAGTTTCTCATATCCCATGGACGTCACTCGCAGACGCATGCAGCTAGCCATGATGAGCCCAGAAACTCAAAAGTTTGCGTGAGTAATCTCATCATAAGTTTTTTTCCTAACAAAAAGTGAACAAAAAAGTGTGTGAGTAATGTTTTGATTCTTTTTAACAAGTAAAGAAGGTTTCACCTTAACTTGTGCTATTTACCAAACTCTAGCAGTAATTTGTATTTTGTCTTTACTTTTGCATTTTACCCTTGGATTTTGACTATAATAATGGTACAATACCTCGTCAAGTAGTCCAAATGATGATTGAGGTTAGAAACCTACATGTTTCGCCGTAAATACGGCATCGTCAGGGTTACAAAAACGAAGACATCGATGTCACACGCACACAATAAATACACGGATACGAACATTTAATTACGGAATTAGTAGCTACTACCTGCGCCGGGACCGTCCGTGTCGTGTGCGTGTGATAGGCCTATCAATGTCAATTAAATGTTTACTTTGTCTTTCCGTAATTAAATGTTCGTATCCGTGTATTTATTGTGTGCGTGTGACATCGATGTCTTCGTTTTTGTAACCCTGACGATGCCGTATTTACGGCGAAACATGTAGGTTTCTAACCTCAATCATCATTTGGACTACTTGACGAGGTATTGTACCATTATTATAGTCATATAAAGTAATCCAGGGGCCATCAACATGGAATCTTGGATTTTGCATAGTTATATTAGTTGATCATTTAGTTTTTTTTTCTGATTTGCAGTTGTACTTTTAGCAGGAGTATATTTGTGTGGTAAAGTATTGTTGATAAGGCTGAACCATTTACCGGTAGTTATTATTTTATTTACCTACGCTAGTATTTGAATCAATTGCTTGTGACACCTATTCTTACAGTATTTTTGTTGTGACTTTGTATGGCAGACTCTCTTTTTGTCTTCGATTTCAGGCACCTCATTCGAACTAAATACGTTACAACCATCAATAGTTAGTAAGCAAATGAATTAATGCATTGGAATATATTGTTTGTACAGTTAATAGGCCTTGTTCTAAATGAGAAAAGCAACCAATAATGTAATCTGCATGAATCAAACCATGCTAGATGAATAAAATGTTACTGTTTGCGGCCATACACATTTTCTCGTCTGAACCAAACAAAACTGAATCAAGGGAGTCTACTGACTTTTTTGTCTTCTGTACTGTCAATATTAATCATGTACATTTTTGCATATGTTATAATAATGTTGAAAGAATTGCATTTTCGTGCACTAATTTATGATGTTTTAATTTAATCATACTTTATGTTTACATGTATATTATGCCTTTATATTGATGAGGATTCTTCTTCTTCTTCTGCAGACGGTATGTGGTTTTCTTCCAAATGCATTTCTCTGCATAGAAATATTTTTAACATGCTTTTACTAACCTGTCCCAAATTAAAAGGTTCTTAAATTTCTCTTATTAACCACCTTTTCAACAACCTTTGTTCTAAGGTATACTTACTAGGAAGTATTTGTCTTCTTTATCTTTAGCTTATGCATGAACAAAATTAAAATTAAAAGTGTATTTATATTCTCTACATGTTTTTGTGACAGCTTCACGTGTGTATGCTCATTATATTTGATAGTATTACTGCCTGCTCTTGAATAAGATTTTAACTTTAAAGGAATACTAACTAAATGAAAGGTACTTATAACATTGAGGTTATATTTTTTTAGCTTGTTTTCTTCAAGTTGCTGCTTGTTTATTTAAAAATCTGCCTTCTATACTATTTAAAGTTAAATAAAAAGCACCCATCACAGTAGCATATTGGTAATGCCTTCTTAGGTCCTCAAACCACACGTTGCTAGTCTAAGACTAATCAATGGTTAGAGTTTAAAAAAAGGATGGCTAGTAATTCTTTCATTGGTCCGGTTTTACAAGTCAATTAGAAGGTTTCTCAGAAGATTTAGTGTGCCAATGTTTGCATGTTTACGACTGAGTAAATAGTCATGAAGAGCTTTCAAAGGGAAATATGAAATAATATTAACTATTAGATTTATAGTGGGACACTCTTTGCTTCAGCTCTATCATTCCCCAGTATTTTACTGCATTAGTGGTGCTTTATCTGTAAATATTACTAATTGGAGTCAGTGATTGCAGTTAATAGAATTTTTTAGTTTCCAAATAGAAATTAACACACTTACAACAATTAACAATTTAATTGGTGGTGGTTGGCTACAAACATGTTCCCTCCCTGACTGCTGGGAGGGAACATGTTAACTGGGCCTGACTTAGGGGAGGTACGATTGAGGCATTAGTTCAAAATTCCTCCGTGAACAGCGCTGTAGTAGAGAGCACTTTGGCAATGAAGGTTTACTAATCGCAAAAATAGTTATGTTCATAAAATAAAATTATAAATGCTTCAAATTCAATTATATTATTTTTTAATTATAAAATTAAACTATCATAACCTAACCGAACTAACCAAACTTGCTGATGATGAAATAATATAACAAAAGTTTAGTAATAGAAAAAATAATTCTGTTTATAAAATAAAATAGTCCAGGCAAATTAGATCAAATATAGGGAGTGCCCCCCAAAAAATCGTCTAAAGCTGGAAAGTGTTTTAATACCTTTTGGGGGTCCCAAATAAGAGTACTTCCACTCTTATAGAAAGCATACTTGGTAGAAAGCGCTGTAGAGTCCTATGAGTTTGCGACGGATTCTGACGTCTGCTTAAGTTTTGGGAGTCGAAAAACTATGAAAATTTTGCACTTTTTTCAGTTTTTCGCTTATAACTCCTAAATAACGAATCCTACGGAAAATGTTGTTCAAAGGTCTCTTTTAGTGCATTAAATTCTGCGTCGATTGGTGTTAAATACGTCAAAATCGGCAAAGCCGTTTAGCCGCTGTAGCTTTTTAAAGTTGGGTCATTTTCATCAACATGGCCAAAAAGTTGATTATTTGACCAGTTTTCGAAAGTTGGGAAATTTTACTAAAATTTTTAACAATATAGATCCTGTCCTTTAAATGGATTATGAATCATTAGTTGGTGATGTATTCCATGGTGATTATCCAGAGGTTTATCTAATAAGATGTGAAGAGAGTCCCTATTATATGTAATTTTAAGTCAAATATTGTTGTCTGAGGTTCCGAAAATTCTAGGATTCATCCCAACCTCTTATTATATACGATCTATAACTGGATTCATCTCTCAGTTTTTTGGATTACATCTTCTAACGTATGCTTTAGAAAAAATGTACCTGTAGTTAGCTTGAAGAGCACAAACGTCTGCGTAGAATGTTTTCCAATTCATTAAGATCGGTTTCACCATTTAACCGCTTTTGATTGTTAACACTAGATCGGATGCTCGTCAAGTTTCCGAAGTTTAAAATCTTACCATTGAAATCCAACCAACCAGCCTAATTACCAAAAACATAGGGTATATGGTAGTGAATCTATCAATGAATCTATCCACTAGTGTGACGTCATGGATCCTGCAGCATAGCCTATTTTTCTAGTGGGGCCTTGTCTGAACACGTCCTTAACTAATAGTAAAACAACAATCACAAAATAAAAAAACTATTCAATTTTATTTTCAGAGCAACACAGATTTAAATAACAAATTATAAAACTAAAATTTCAACAATAGTAAACAATTAAATTTATTTTCTTGCTCCTGAATGGCAAACTGGCTAATGTTAAATATCCACGTATTATTGAACAAGGATATTTCACAATTAAATCAAGACAAAAAGCATAAATCCGGATTATGGTGTTATATGACCATTGCACAAGTAAGTGCTCATGAGAGCAACATCTTATTGTGGAGAGCTTTTCCGAGATAGGGGAATCAATGATAGGGATCTAGCCCTATGGTTCGCTGGCAGGCCCATCGCAGTTAATGTTACCCATCAAATTAAGGGATATTGTGGGATCACCTCTTCAACACATTATCAGCAAGTTGACAATAAAAACTCTCTATGTTTTTGGTAATTAGGCTGGTTGGTTAGATTTCAATGGTAAGATTTTAAACTTCGGAAACTTGACGAGCATCCGATCTAGTGTTAACAATCAATAGCGGTTAAATGGTGAAGCCGATCTTAATGAATTGGAAAACATTCTACGCAGACGTTTGTGCTCTTCAAACTAACTACAGGTACATTTTTCTATAGCATGCGTTAGAAGATGTAAGCCAAAAAACTGAGAGATGAATCCAGTTATAGATCGTATATAATAAGAAGATTCATGGTTGGCATGAATCCTAGAATTTTCGGAACCTCAGACACAATTTTTGACTTAAAATTACATATATTAGGGAGTCTTACTCTCTTCACATCTTATTAGATAAACCTCTGGATAATCACCATGGAATACATCACCAACTAATGATTCATAATCCATTTAAAGGACAGGATCTATATTGTTAAAAATTTTAGTAAAATTTCCCAACTTATAATACATTTACTTTAATAATTTTTTCAATGAAATGGCGACCATACAAAGTAGGTAGCAATCAATTGCCATTATTGATTAGTAAAAAAAACATATTACGCAGAATGTTGTGTTTTCCAAACTAACTACAGGTGCATTTTTGTATAGCAAGCGTCGATTAGGAGTTGTAAGCCGAAAACTGGTCAAATAATCAACTTTTTCGCCGTGTTGATGAAAATGACCCAACTTTAAAAAGCTACAGCGGCTAAACGGCTCGGCCGATTTTTACGTATTTAACACCAATCGACTCAGAATTTAATGCACTAAAAGAGACCCTTGAACAACATTTTCCGTAGGATTCGTTATTTAGGAGTTATAAGCGAAAAACTGAAAAAAGTACAAAATTTTCATAGTTTTTCGACTCCCAAAACTTAAGCAGACGTCAGAATCCGTCGCAAACTCACAGGACTCTTATTTGGGACCCCCAAAAGGTATTAAAACACTTTCCAGCTTTAGACGATTTTTTGGGGAGCATATGTCTAATTTGCCTGGGCTAAAACTAGAAATTGCTCAAATAAAATTTAATAATAAAACTTAATAATAAAATTAAACTGTCATAACCGAACCAAACTTGCTGATAATAAAAAAATCTTGGACAAAAAGTTAATGCCACCAGCGGGATTCGAACCCGGGACCTTCAGCATTATATCAGCCCGGTATGCTAACGACCACCGAGGCCGATGGCTACAGATCGATTTGTTACGGTAATGGCGTTCCCGCAGCTAATAAGAAGCCCACAGCTGTCATCGTAGCCTCTTCTATACCTCCCCTGAGTAAACCCACGTTAACTAACTTCAGATGTAAAATCAAAATCTATAGGCTATGCTGTGTTGGTAATTATTGTGATTAACCATGGTAACCTTATATCACCAGACACTAGATTTTTAGCTAAAAATAACGGTGCAACTGTAGTTTCTTTCTTTTTATTGCAACTAATCATAGTGATTGTTTCTATGTATATAATGTTTACTTCTTAAATAAAGATGTTTTCAATTAAATTCAAAGACATTGGTTATCTTTGGGTTGTCAAATGGCGATTAGTTTAAAGTGTACCCTTTTTCAAAGGATCATAAAGCCATGTTACCTAAAACCTCTTGAAACAAGAAACACCTACTGAACTCTCGGCTTGACTAAAGCTTTTCATCTTCACCTCCTCGCTTTTAGAAAATTACTCTGTGTTTTTTAACTTATTTTCTTCTTTTCTAAAAAAATTTTCTGCACAGGATGGGAATGGTGAAGACTCTTGTGTTTATCTACAAAGACAATGGTATGATTCGAGGCCTCTACCGGGGAATGAGCATCAACTACATCCGAGCCATTCCGATGGTGTCCGTCTCGTTCACAACTTACGAACTGATGAAGCAAGCCCTTCAACTCGACACTGGCATAAAGATTTCAACTTCGTGAAACTTTGAAGACCCAGTCTGTGTTTCATGTTTTAGGTTTAAGTGAGGCTTTAGGCCGGTCAGTAGGAACAGTTCAATAGGAAATTGGCCTTACACTAGCACTCACACAGAAAGGTGACTCATGTAATTTCTGTAGCTTAAAACTGCTAAATGTTGCTAGTTCCGCTACAGTTATGTTATTTAATACAGATTATAGAGTAAATAAAGTGTTACCTCTTGGCAAACTACAAGACCTTTGCTAAAGACAAAGACAAATTTACCTGTGTAACTGTGTTTACCTTAACCTTCATATAGTATTATTTAGATAAAGCTTTCTAGTTTCAACTTGCACAAGATACAATAGCTATTTCAAGGGTGATTATGGGAATTGTCTTGATCGGGGTTTGGAAAATATATCCCCCTTTTTATTTTGTTAGCGTACACTTTATACTACCTATATTTTATATAGTGTTGTGTAACTTATGAGTAAATATAAACGACACAGATTTATCTTGAATGCATTGAGCTGTTCAACCCCTAATTTAATTACATTTTTCAAATAGTTTTTCCTCAGTGGAGACGATGTTCTTTTTCACCTCTATGAGCGCCCATTATTTATTTTTTATGTAGCTTTAATGTGTAACCAAACTTATTGTAGTACTGCTTAATTTAGATTCCTACATTTTACAGAAAACAATTTTTGCACAATTTTCAAAATTAATTTCTATTGTGGTGTTACTGATGATAAATGTTGTTGTTAATCACAATATTAAGCAATTTCAAAGAACCAAAAAAATCATAGATTAAAAATTTTTATGTTTTCACATTACACAATGGGAAGATAACGTAGTGGCTTTTCTAATTCATCATTCAAAAGAATAAGTTAAGTAAAGTTTCTAGAATAGCCCTAGTCCGTAATGGGTGTTGGACAGGTTTAAAGGTATTCATTCAGTTAAACTTCACACTTTATTGTTTTCTGCTTAGATAGTTAATTTAGAATGAACTATTTTCATTACAAGTTATATGCTGATATAACTATTGCATGTAGTTTTGGATCTAGTTTATATGGAAAATACTGCATTAGTTATTAGTTAATTTACCTATACTGGAAAATCAAAATTGTAATAAAGAATAACAACGATTTTGTTGTTGTAAAATGTGCCTCGCAAATAATTCTTGTTAGTGAAAAGGTATCAAGTTGATACATACTAGTTTTTAATGTGATTGTGGAAGCGGGGTGTCTGAGCACCTGGCTGTCCAAAGCCCAAACCAAATATTTCTGAACAATGACAAAGCTTTAATTTAAAATGTTATTTTAACAAGATGAACTTTACTCTATAAAAAATAAATCTCTGTTGCCGCATGTCGATATCACATTTTTTATTCTTGTTCTTGTTATATAAATATTTAGTGAGATAAAATCTTGTTTGTTATGTAGATAATTGTTGAACTTAGGTTTAGATTATTTCATGTTTTCAAAATAATGAGTAACTAGGTGGCGTTCGCAGAAGCATCCACAAAATTGAGCGGAGTCATCAATGGTTCATATTATATTGTTTTTGTCATACTGCAGTGAAAACAGTCGTCATTGATGCATGCGTTGCGGGTCTAAAGTAGCATTTTTACTCTTTAGGGAATAAAATTCGTTTTTAGCCTCTATGGAGTAAAACTCAGCTGTTGTCAACTCAGTTGTAAATTTCTATTGTAAACGATTGAATACGTATCGAACTATGTAACGATTCGTGCTTCATAATCATTTTAACCTACAGTCTACAGTCTCTTCCCATTGCATTTTAGCATTGCAGATAGGCCTACATTAATCCATTCCCACATTCAACACTGCCCACCTTTACTACTTCCTTCACCACCCCCTACGTAGTGGACCTGTTCCCGTCTCTTACCATAGCATTTTAGGATTGCAGATACATTAATGTAATTGCCAAAGACAGTTTCCACACTCTGCACTGCAAGCCTCACTAATTCCTTCACCATTTCCTACGTCATAGACATGTTTCCTTCCCTTCTCACAGCATTTAAGTATTAGATACATTTATCTAACTGCCCAAACGGTTCCCTCACTCTGCACTGCCAGCCTTTACTACTTCCTACGTCGTGGGGGATGTTTCCTTCCCTTCTCATAGCATTTTATGATTGAAGATACATTAATCTAACTGCCACAGACGGTTCTCAACATATGTTCATACCTACTTCCTAAGCCACTTCCTACATCGTGGACCTGTTTTCATCACTTTCCATAGCATTTTAGGAATTTAGATACGTTAATCTAATTGCCACAAACATTGCCCACACTCCGCACTGCTAGCCTTTACTACTTCTTTCACCATTTTCTATGTCGTGGGCATGCTTCCATACCTTATCATAGCATTTCATCATTGCAGATACATTAATCTAACTGCTACAAACGGTTTCCAGTTCCCAAACTCCACACTGCTCACCTTACTACTTCCTTCACCTCTTCTTACGTCGCAGACATGTTTCCCTCTCTTCCCATAGAATTTTAAGATTGTAGATACCAAGATACCATAATCTAATCGTCATAAACAGTTCCCACACTCCGAAAAACTCGCCTTTACCACTTCCTTCATCTCTTCCTACGTCACGGACCTGTTAACCTCCCTTCCCATAGCATTTTAGGATTGGGGATACCTTAATCTAATCGTCATAAACAGTTACCACACTCCAAAAAACTCGCCTTTACTGCTTTCTTCATCACTTCCTACGTCACGGACCTCTTTACTTCCCTTCCCTTAGCATTAATGGAATGCAAATACCTTAATCTAATAGTCATAAACAGTTTCCACAATACACACAGCTCGCCTTGACTACTTCCTTCACCACTTCCCACGTCGCGGACCTGTTTTCCTCCCGTCCCATAGCATTTAAGGATTGAAGATACCTTAATCTAATAGTCATAAACAGTTTCCACACTCCGGACAGCTCGCCTTGACTATTTCCTTCACCACTTCCCACGTCGCGGACCTGTTTTCCTCCCTTCCCATAGCATTTTAGGATTGCAAATACCTTAATCTAATGGTCATAAACAGATCCCATACCCCGAACAGCTCGCCTTGACTACTTCCTTCACCACTTCCTACGTCGCGGACCCGTTTTCCTCCCTTCCAATAGAATTTTAGGAATGCAGATACCTAAATCTAATCGTCATAAACAGTTTCTCCACACTCCGGACAGCTCACCTTGACTACTTCCTTCACCACTTCCTACGTCGCGGACCTGTTTTCGTCCCTTCCCATAGAATTTTAGGAATGCTGATACCTTAATCTAATCGTGATAAACAGTTCCCACACTCCAGGCAGCTCGTCTTGACTACTTCCTTCACCACTTCCTACGTCACGGACCCGTTTTCCTCCCTTCCCATAGAATTTTAGGAATGCAGATACCTACCTTAATCTAATCGTCTTAAACAGTTTCCACACTCCAGACTGCTCACCTTTACTACTTCCTTCGCCACTTCCTACGTCACTGACCTCAAGCTAGTGTCGTCATTTTATTATATTTATGATCCATACCACCGTTTATGTTCTAATATCTGTGGAATAATGCTATCAGCTATTTATTTATCTACTGTACTGCATTCAAAAGTCAACAGCTGATCATATGTCTTTGTTTATGTGTCAAATACTGATTCCATAAGGATTGCATTGAAACTTTGAGACCCAGTGGGGCGGATTCCTGAGAGACTTTTTTAACGCCATATAGATGTTGGCACTCACCGATATGGTCTTTATCACCATGCAAAATTTGAAAACGATTGATTCAGCCGTCTAGGAGGAGTTTGCGTATTACGAAATGCATAAAAGTCGATGTATAAGAGCTTCGCTCGCTCCGCTCAATAAAATTACATGTTTATGTTTGAAGATCAAGGTTGTTTTTAATTGTATGTTGGTTAACAGCAACCCACAAAATATGAAAAATGTGACATTTCATTACATGTAACTGACAGACATGTAATTTAACTTTTTCTGTATTTTTCTTTTATAGTGGCAACAAAAAAATTTGTGTTTAAATTTTATTTGTTGAGGAAGATAAATTAAGTAAAATGTTATTACTCAAACGTAGTCTTAAGCTGTCTATGTTGTGCAATGCCATGTATTTTATACTTCTCAATTTGTATGAGGTACTGACGTGCAGTTTTTAACATCCATGACAAATAATAGTGTAATTCTTGTGTGAATGGATTAAGGTTTTTTATACATGTTATATTCCCTCATTAATCTCTCAGGCAATGCAGTGCAGATACTCACATAATTAATTATCAAGTCCATAATTTGAATAGGGTATTACTAATCAACCCCTATAGATTGCTTTCAATTTTCCCACCATGAATTAGTGAGGTCTCATAAACCTCTCTTACGCTTTATTCAAGTTAAATAAAATAACATGAAACTGTGATAAATTAGATAAGATGTTTTTAAAGGATACATATAGTAGAAAAAGTATTTTGAAACAGTTAAATACATTTTGTAATGAACCTATTGATTCACTGCAGTAGCGATAACAATAAAAATATAGTTACATACAGTGGAACGTCGATATTCCGGCTGAAACGGGCAGCCAGTAGACCAGACCGCCTAAGTTCCTCGTTTAAGTTGAACAAAATTAACAATAAATAATTAATTGCAGCTTAATAGTGATGACCTTTTTTGAGTGGGTCGGGATTGTGTATGTACAAGTTCCTCCTTTTTCCCCACTTGCCAATTGTTCTATATTGTACTGTACTTAATTATTATATTACATACAAACCCTACTATTTCTTATAGGCCATGATTTTCATTAGGAATGATCAATCTGGACAGTACCGGGAGCGAATTATCGAGGTTCTACTGTATTTTATTATGGTTAGTTTTCCTAAAAATTGCTTCTTTTTTCAAAGAATAGCTGTTAAATGGCTGGTATTTAGAAATGTTAGCATTATTTCAATCCGTATTTACTTGTGCTATACATATTTTTTTTATAATAAATTAAATTAATGCCTTAAAGACATTGATCATTTTAATCATAAGTACTTTGTTGAGGAATTTTTACTGTTCTGGTAATATTGAAAGAAATCGTTACTTTCTTATTGTTATTGGACCATATTATCTACTACGGTATATGAGATCTGTTTTTCTAGCCATTTTTATAAGAGGTTACTGTTATTTAGTTATTATTTGCACACATAAGGTAAAATTATAAGTATCGTTTTATTTAGAACAATCAACACCATTGTTCTGTTATACATACCAGTTTGTTATATGTATTGTTGTTCGTTATATTGTTGTTATTCATATAAAATTCAGATGATTTAGAGGGATTTTAAGGTATGGTAATTTTGAGCATTACTAGTTTTTGTAATAAAATTGTTGAAAGTATAATTGTAGTTTTATTAAGATTCTCTTGGATAAGAATACTATGGTAGTCTTAAAGGGATTATTTCTATGCTAAGGCACTGTTCTAGCTAGTGGATAATATTTTTTCCAGACTACGCCATTGGCATTTTATTAATGTTTTGAGAGGGAATGGTCCAATCCAAACCATATCGACCTTTGTGTTAGGCCAATGACAATTGGCATCTGAGTATATAATTAACAATCTCACTTGGAATCAAACCAGCGACTGTAGATTTGAAGGCAAGCACTGTAACCACTCGGCTACCCAGACAAATTATCAGCTGTAATAGTATATACTAGTGCACCTGTTGCTCGAATTCGAGCAATTGCAAAGTATTATAGGTGTTATTTCAAAACGAATAACCCTTACAGTCATACGATCCTATGTAAAAGAGTCAACTCCAAGATAATGTAATGAATCACTCCACTCCAGTTACCGAAACTGAAAACGAACGCTCTTGTGTGTATCATGTGTTTACTATAAACAGCTGCAATTAATACAAATTATTCGTCTGTTTGAGCAAACAAAATTTTTTCCTCGTAAGAAATACATTGGGATTTTAATGGCTTGTGGGGCAAAGCCCGAGGACCTTTATTACAGGAATTGGTGAAAGGGAGCGTCTACAAAAAAAAATACTTTATTTTGACACGTTGTTTGTAAAAATCCGTTCATTATTAACGGAGGAGTAGTGTTTTGTAGAAATCGCCTTCACGATGTAATTTAACCTATTAGGCCCCACAGATCAATACACACCAGCCATAACATAAAAAAACATCACTTGAAACTAAGCCTAGCTAAAAAATCTCAGAGACAAACCAGAACTAGAACTACCATTAAGGCTTGGGTGTTGGTTTTACTAATAGTACTGATACTGCTAGGTCTAATCAGTGGACAGAAGAAGCTTTGTCTTCCTGACAAGGAGAGAAAACAGTGTATTTTGATGGTTCATATTATGCTCTCTCAGTCAAAGTGTGCAAATCCTGAGAAGTAAAATAAACGGTATCAGCAATCTGACACATACTTTCTCCCATAAGCTTGTCAACAACCTGGCCTAGTGAAAAATAACAAAAGTTGCATAAAAGCACCCACACTCAAACTCAAAAATTTTGACGAAAACAATACCTTCTCCTATAATGATGTACAAACAAAAGATTTTCTGAGACATTGGTTGCAAACCAGCAATCAAATCAAGACGATTCATATTTGGCAACTGATTTGTTACTAATTTGCGTTTTCAGCCAAAAACAATAATTCTGACAAATAAATAATAAACGGAAAACACAATATAACACGCATAGAGTTCATGAATTATAACCCCCTGTTTTGTTCAATGTTAGAGAGAAAACCTAGTGTATAAGGTTAAAAGGCAAAAGGTAAAAATGCTTTAAGGTAAGGTTTTGCATATTGTTCTATTTATTAGATAAAACAATCACTGTCTGGGTTAGTAACGAAATCCAATTAATACTGGTGTATAATCATAATTTATTTTCATCATAAAATGATGTTTATTTCACAGCAAATTAAGTATTTCCTATGACTAAAAGAAACTATTTGTACATGGTTTCTTGGAGAAAAGAAGAGTTTGAAAAATATGTTCACAGATATCAATAATACTCGATAGAAAGAAATTATAGTTAAAATAACAAAAAACATAGTGAGTATAGCATATCTGAATATTTCTCTCCTTGTTTCCGTGGTCAGACTACAAATAGTCAACAAAATTTAACAACATCTGCATGCTCAGCACGATTTGATGTGCAAAATAATTGGTTAAATTTCAACCCTGACTGGCCAACTTTAGAATAAAATAAATCTCTTTTAAAAATAACGCGACCAAATGCACTGATTTGAGGTATTTCACAATAATAAAAATATCATTAAACATGCTAATATATAAAAAATAAATAAATTGTTATAACTGTTACCCATATTTTTGATAAAAACAATGCAACTATTAACATTTTAAGGGACAAGTCATATAAAAAATCTAGTTTCAGCATCTTACTAACGTGTGCTCAAACTCGTTTCACAGCAGCTCAGTCATTACAAACACACTTCACACAGCGAAACCTGTCTTGTGGCAGTGGGAAATAAATGTGTTGCCTTCCGACTCCCTGTCTTGTTAGTACAGAAATTACGACTTTGTTCTATCCGAGAAGAGTTTATTACTCGTTTGATATAAACACATATCGTACATAGACATACAAGGTAAGGCGGGGTAAACACATAAATAATATTAAAAGCACTCAAAAATGCAGCCTGCATCAACATACCGTAATATTACTCGGCTAAATAAAGTGCAGGTCCATTATGCGAATATTGGCTTCGGGTTAAAACACACAAACCTAAACCATAAAATCTGTACAGTTTTCTATAATCTACATTAGAATTAGAAATGTGTAATCGGTTTTAAATGAACTATTAATATACAATTTGAATGCAGGCGATAATAGCATAGTTTAAAGAAAGTAGTCGGGAGTCCTGCGAGTGACATGGGGCTCTCCACGGCGAGGTGCTGGGTCGAACTGCAGGCTGAAACAAGAGGAAACCAACTGTAACTCAACAGACTACAACTGTTGCAACCTTTCAGCTGTATTGCTGTATTACATTTTTACAATAAAAAATAATATAAAAAAGTAGAATTATTAGGATCATTACTAAAACATTCCATGTAGCCTAAAACATGTATTCTCAATGAGCAGTGGTATTATAACTTAAAGGGTTTTCAATTCCAATTAAGGAGCCTTGGAAAGAGGAGAAAGAACAAATAATGCAATCAATAGCTGTCCACTTGGTAACCCAGAGTTTGTTGTATAGCTCAAAAAATTGTACACATTAAATGGTTGATATCACACCACTTTTCAGGATTCCCTTATAGAGAAAATCCGTTGGCTAAGGAGGGGAGTCTCTAAACAAAGAAATAAAATTACCCAACTTGAATTGACTTCACACAGATTATCAGTGAAGAAACAATTGTCTCCAGTTTTCCATGCTGGAAAAACTTAGTTTCAACATATTTTAGACATGTTTACATGAATTGAAGAAGAGCATTAATTTGGCACTCATTAAAAGAGAGAAGTTAATGTATGTGAACCTTCACAACATAAAAGGTAGGCTTATTAAAAATCAATTTTCAACAAGTTTTATAATAACTCTAAGAATATTACTAGTTATTACAGTTACTCTAATTTATTCACAAAGTTTTCCTCAATGTTATGTTTCATACTATGCGGCCGGGTTCCCTAGTAACATTAGATTTAACGAGTGCTTAGGTTTGCTGCTGCACAGAAGGTAAAAAGGGCTTTTTGATCAAACGTTAATAGTATAGGATGAAATAAATAAGTTTGCCAAATTTGATCAATATATATCAATAAACAAGTAAACCACAACGGTTTTCTCCATAAAAAGAGTGTGAGAAATAAAATGTAGTTTTTTCCAGTTAGGCTACCTTTAATTGTACAACACTTCAATAGACAAAATTATTTATATTTTTAAGCTCTACACAATGGTTTTAATGGAAATTAGGCACTTTCATATTCTAAGGGGAAAAACAATTTTTGAAAATTACAAACCCCATAATACCTCATGTTTTCATGACCCGATCATGCTAGTTCGCAAACTCACCCAAGTTTATATGAACCTACACTTTCAAGCCAAATTTGATCAATCTCACACCAAAATTAGTAGAACTATAGTATTCAAGCCCAAAACGAGATTCAAAGATACTTCAAACATTTCAACCTGAAATAAAGTTGTAGTGTAGAGCGAAAAAGGTCCCTTATTTTTTTAAAATATTTCTATATCAAGAAATATTTGATAGCTTACAATGAATATTTGAGAGCATCGTCAAGTTCCATGATAGCAGCTTGGTTACCACAGCGGTAACAGTAGTTGGGGGCGGAGAAGATGGTTACCACGTTTCTGTCATGACACCTAAAAACATGAAATTCAACAATTAACAATTTGTGCTAAATATTTGAGTAAAAGCTAGTAATAAATAAATAAAAACATAAATGTAACTTGTAACTCTAGTCTTATAAATTGTATAAAAAGAAAAGGGATAGCAACTAGCTTACCTTGAGGTAGGCCAAATAGATCATGTTTTATTTAGCCTACCTAGACTTCTTCAAGAGAAACTAGCTGCTATCCTCCTTTTTCTACAAATCAAAATCTTGGCCCGGAGCCTTTCCTTAAACAAAACTCGACTCTTATAAGTCATAGCCTAGTATCAAATAATTACATCACGCTACTTCACACAGCATTAATGTCAGCATATTGTCGACAGCATCACACTTTGTCTACGTAAAATGTTTAACTGAAGATGAATGCAGTGTGAGGAGTGACTAAGATCAGCTGTTTATTTAGCCACCAAACAGCTGTGTCCAGTGAATCCACCAAACCTCCCCTGAACTTACACTTAGTAACCTCAACATGCCTCAACTTAATAAGTGAAGTGTAAATAAATGTAAAGAAGCATTTAGCCTACTAGTAGTTTCATAAATTACACTGTACAGCCCACAACCTAATCTTAAGATAAGGCCCTATTATCTTATAAGCTTGTGTAAATACCAGTTGACATTTCTGTTAAACAAAACAAACTGGTAGGGGATTCTTCATTAATAATATGATAGAGGCTATCTACAGTATTAATTAAATGTAACAACTGAGCTATGTATTCATAAAAATAATGCAATGGTGATAGGACAGTTGATTTCCACATTTATGACTCATATTATGATCATAAAAATTCAATTGTAAAACACACTTTCACTTAAATGTAAAAAAAACTAACAATGTCATTCATAAATAAGCCTAAAAAATAGTTTTTCTATTGTTTACTCTTTTAGAAGAAAATTAAATACAGTAGAAAAAGTGTGTTAAGGGGATTTAGTCAAAATTAAAATTCATTATGTAGCCCCTGAACTGTTGATTAGACTATAATTTAAGGTACATACCTTCACGTCAACAGTTCATAAATGAATGGTCAAACCCACTACATGTTTCGCCTATACATAGGCATTGTCAAGTGGTCCTTCAAGAACGTTTCGTCCATTGTAGACTCGTCAAAAAACATTTAAATAAATACACAAAACACGATACATTGTACGAAACATTTAACACTTAGTAGGCCTACTATTTACCGGTCGCGGTACGGAGGCAGACTGGCTGGAATTACGAACGGAGAAGGGGTCGGGGTTACGTAATTCCAGCCAGTCTGCCTCCGTACCGTGACCGGTAAATAGTAGGCCTACTAAGTGTTAAATGTTTTGTACAATGTATCGTGTTTTGTGTATTTATTTAAATGTTTTTTGACGAGTCTACAATGGACGAAACGTTCTTGAAGGACCACTTGACAATGCCTATGTATAGGCGAAACATGTAGTGGGTTTGACCATTCATTTATGAACTGTGGACGTGAAGGTATGTACCTTAAATTATAGGGATTTAGTCGTTGTCATCGTCTTGCACGTTCGCGGTAATAGCGGTAATTTTCCGATCTCACTTAGGTATCGACTTTTGATGATCAATTCTTGATACCGATACTAACGGCCAAGTATCGGTGGTATTGAAAATTGGTATGTACAATTGACACATCCCTAGTTTAGACTTAGTTTTACTGGGGAATTCTCGGCGGCGGAACTCTTCAACTCAGTTACGTAAAGAGTGGAGTAACTTCTCAATTATGACTTTTCAAAATGACTTGTTTTTATTGAGGTTGTTTTGGTGAGATACAGTCGTATACAGAGGTATAGCGGTTGATTTAACATCATATGTTATGGCGTTTTCAAGGGATCTAAAACACTTGTAATTGAGGGCCATGTACTGTACACAAGGTTTTACTGTAGGTTACAACCATGGACTCACCAATTGTATCCTTCCATCACGAGTTGATGTGCTCTGGACACCAGTGTGAGGCCGTTGGAGTGGTTGAATGTTTCCGAGATGTCTTGTCCGAATGTGTAGCCAGCGCCTCGGGGAGAGATGCCCCACCCTCCTCTGTCATCAGGGTCCGACCACAGAAGATCACACATGGGCCCCTAGCACCAACATGTCATGTGTAAGTCAAGAGAACACAAAATACAATTAATAGTGAATAAGATCTAGGACAAATATCAAAATGGAGCTGCCCCTTGCAGAAATACGAAATAAAAGGCATTGTCAAGTTAATATTGAACAAATAAAATAAAAAATAAACAGGCTTTGATATGAATAAAAACAAACCGGAATCATGAAAATACTAACAAGATCATAGGTGCAAACAACTCATAGATGTAACCTATGAGTCGTGTCCGTCGACATGCGCGTTATGGCTGGCCGCACATTTTGCTATGTTAAACCAATGTATCCATGTATCTTGAATCTTAAATTTGCGTATATTGACTACATTAGGTTCAAATAATTTTATGTAAACGACAAGGGCTTGAAAATTAAACAACTGTTTCGAAACTAGTCGCCCGAGATTACAATAGGATTGACGACGCAAGGAATGTAAACCTAATTAATTTGTCATAAATCAATGCTGGGGGCAATACTAAATATAAAAGATTGCTATCTACCTAAATGAGAATGAACTCAATGTAGGCTATTGAAATTTATACATGGAAACATACAGCCTTAACTCATCCAAGTTTCTAAAAAAATAGCTGCAGCATCAAACCTTAACACGTTTAGTATAGTTGCGCGATGGCCAGCCGCGGCCGGTGGCTACAGGGTTGAATGTGCGTAAAACGTTTAAAATTAGTTTAATCCAAAGGAGAGGCATGTCGTAGCATGTACTGTGTTCCAGTTGTTGTGGACGTAGTTTTACATGAACCCAACAGATAGCAGCATAAAAAACCCCTAGTAGGCCCTCAGTATTGGCACATGGTGGGAAAAAGCAGGGACGAAAAGCCTGGATACCCCATCATAAAATACCTCAAAAAAGGTAGCAAGCACAATTTTGAAGTTAGGTTCAGCCTTCCACAACTATACACTACAGTAATTGTCGTGATTATATTCAATTTCATTAAATCCAAGACAAATCCCTACAATACACTAAATTTGGAACAGTCCCCACCATCGATGATATTGTCTAATTGAAAAACAAATTATACTGGATTGAAGTATAAAACTGGCACAAGCGGCAAGTGACAACATTCCCCGTGCGAGGCTGAGCTCACACTGGATCAATACTCCGAGTTAGGAATGCCACGTCTTTTAACATAGTCCGCCGCGCGCGCCAGTCCCTCACTATATTAAATAACGTAGGCGGCTCAGATTTGTGGTTATGAGTAACACTAGTTTGTTTTCTATGAGTCAAATTACCTTAACTTGAGAAGTTTATTCAGAATTTACTTTCTATTGGTAATGAGATTGAATGAAGGAATTAGCATCTATTTGTTCAGGACTTATATAACTTATAGTGAGTTAAGGGGCCTACATTTTGCTAAACTAATATGAAATAGCTACTAATTGAATAATAACACACAAACTTAAAGGAGCTTGATGAGTGCAGAAAATCTAAAATTACAATTCCTTAAATCAAACTAACTGACCAAAATGGTGACCTTTTGATAGATCATTGAACCATCCTGCATACCTCGTGAGGAACTTCTTGCAGGCGATCCAAAGCTCTTATATGATCTAAGGTGTCGATTGATGGGGACAGTCCACCGTGCAGACAAAAGATCTGTCCATCAACCAAAGCCGTCAAAGGTAGATAGTCAAACAAATCTGTGAAGAATTTCCACACATTTGCATTACCATACTTCCTCAGGCATTCATCGTAGAAACCGTAGACTTGGGTGATCTGCCTGGATTCATGGTTACCTCTGAGGATTGTGATTCTTTCCCTGTACCGAACCTGCAACAAGAAACGTATCTGAGTCACTGGGGTCTTATTTATTTGGCGCAGGTGTGAAATTGTAAATGTCACAAGACCAACTGTTTCTGTAGCCAGGATCATTTATTAAAAGCCATCTTGTTTAGATATTTTGGCGATCAAACGTGTACTACATAATATACTCTTAAGACACTAATCATAAGGTTAGCAATATTGTAGTATTGCAAATTCTGGAAACGATAATTAAAGTAGGTAGGCTACTTTGATGTTTGTTATAATTTTTTTTAAGATTGTTTGATAATTTATTTTTATAGGTAGTTTATTGATAGCCTATTAATGACGAGTGTTATTTTGAAAAGTAGAAACATTTCCGAATAGCACTTGCTTAGCACCAACCCTTTTACTTACTTAAATAATTTACTACATGGTGTCTACTAAACCTGGTTTGAAAAATTCAAGGAGTTTTCCAGGAGAATTCAAGACAAATTCCTGAATTTTAAGAGCTACTATCGGAACCCGTTCAACTAATCGCAACCCGCTAATAATAATTTATTATTACTATTATGATTATTTTAATTTAAAACAAAACTTTTCCAAAGAAAATATTTTATACAACATAATAAAACAGTATAACTAGTAGGTAAGGCGACACCAGCTATCATCTCCTGCGATCGTGGGAATACCGGTGAGCATATCTTGCAGTCTCGTCAACACAGGCAATCGATCGCGGCAAAATAGGTTTGCATATTTTATGATTTCAGCGACACCGATAATCGTCTCCCGCGATCGCGGCAATACCCGTGAGCATATCCTGCGGTTTCGGCAACACCGATAATCGTCTCCCACGATCGCGGCAATACCCGTGAGCATATCCTGCGGTTTCGGCGACACCGATAATCGTCTCCCACGATCGCGGCAATACCCGTGAGCATATCCTGCGGTTTCGGCAACGCCGATAATCGTCTCCCGCGATCGCGGCAATACCCGTGAGCATATCCTGCGGTTTCGGCGACACCGATAATCGTCTCCCGCGATCGTGCCAATACCCGTGACCATATCTTGCGGTTTCGGCAACACCGATAATCGTCTCCCACGATCGTGCCAATACCCGTGACCATATCTCGCGGTTTCGGCGACACCGATAATCGTCTCCCACGATCGCGGCAATACCCGTGAGAATATCTTGCGGTTTCGGCGACACCGATTATCGTCTCCCGCAATCGTGCCAATACCCGTGACCATATCTCGCGGTTTTCGGCGACACCGATAATCGTCTCCCACGATCGCGGCAATACCCGTGAGAATATCTTGCGGTTTCGGCGACACCGATTATCGTCTCCCGCGATCGTGCCAATACCCGTGACCATATCTCGCGGTTTCGGCAACACCGAAAAGCGTCTCCCACGATCGCGGCAATACCCGTGAGAATATCTTGCGGTATCGGCGACACCGATAATCGTCTCCCGCGATCATGCCAATACCCGTGACCATATCTCGCGGTTTCGGCAACACCGAAAATCGTCTCCCACGATCGCGGCAATACCCGTGAGAATATCTTGCGGTATCGGCGACACCGATAATCGTCTCCCGCGATCATGCCAATACCCGTGACCATATCTCGCGGTTTCGGCAACACCGATAATCGTCTCCCACGATCGCGGCAATACCTGTGAGCATATCCTGCGGTTTCGGCGACACCGATAATCGTCTCCCGCGATCGTGCCAATACCCGTGAGGATATCTTGCCGTTTCGGCGACACCGATAATTGTCTCCCGCGATTTCGGCAACAAAAGCGGCAGTGTTTGGTTAGCCGACGATTCCGATGACCGGGCTGTGGATTCCCGGAGGTTTGGGTGGATTCCTGGAGTTTTCCAGGACATTTCAAGGTAAGATACAATTCCCGGAGTTTTCCCGGTTTTCCCGGAGAGTAGACACCATGTACTAATTATTAAGGCACATCACTTGGGCCAACCAAAGGAAACAACGATGTTACGCGCATGCGCACTAGTCACCTTGGTTCATTGTTGAACAGCTGACTCAACAACGGCAAAATTGTGTTGTGTTTACATTAGTTAGTGTGCACTCAAAATGTTTTAAACAATTTCTGATCCCGCGGACTGTGAAGTGCGTTCTGTAATACGGTTTTTGAACACAAGGAACGTGAACCCTGCTGAAATTCATCGCCTACTTAGAGAAGTTTATGGAGAAAAAAATTATCAGTGATGGAATGGCGAACCAATGTTCATAACGAGGATTGCAGCGGGCACCCATGTGTTGAGTCAGGAATTGGTTGAAAAAGTGAATGAATAAATTCGTGAAAACAGATGTTTCACCATAATGATTCTTTCAGATGAATTCCCACAAATATCAAAATCTCTAATATTAATGAAATCATTTCATTAATCGTTTGTAGTTATATTGTGGTTAATCGCTTGAATTATCGCAAGATATGTTCCCGCTGGGTTCCGAAAATGCTTACTGGAATGTTTCTCTTCAATGGCGGAAACTTTCTGTGAAGAGGGTATAGGAGAAAAGTTGGTTCTTCGCTACGACAAATGTCTAAACATTGGTGGCAACTATGTAGAAAAATAGTTTAATATATCCGATCCTCTTCCTCTTAGCCTAGAAATACATTTTGTTAAAAAAAAAATCATCCATACCTATGTTTTTTTCCAAAATGGTAGGCCTACTTACTTTCTGGACAAGCCTCGTAAGTATATTGTACTGGTTTGGATGTAATGAGTTAAAAAAGAATCTGGATTTGACTTCAGCCCCATAAATCATTAAAACTACTTTTATTTTATTATGTCAAAGATTTATATTGTAACTTAAGGTCATACGACCATTATAAAATTCAACACAAAAATTATGAAGTCTATAATGTTCGGCAAATGTATTTTTCATTCACACACAATATGACAAAAAACTATAACTAAGAATAAAGATAGGAATCAGCTAGCTGTCTTATTTCTTCTCCCTTTTGTTGATGTCCCTAATTGCGACAAAATATTAAGTTTTCTGTGTTGTACATTATATGCTTTATGTGTGTTATCAAGGCTAATCTGGGCTCTGTCTACCAGGTAAGTTAGCTGATCCCTATCCTTGTACATAATAATCATAATCAGCCAATTGGCCTTTCCTTAACTTCTACAGTACCGGTAACTAAGAATAAACTAATTCTTACCTTGAGTGCAACTAGTAGGGTGACAGTTTCAACAGAATAGTATCCTCTGTCCACATAATCTCCCATGAATAGATAATTTGTGTCTGGGGATTTCCCTCCTATCCGAAACAATTCCATTAGATCATGAAACTGACCATGGACGTCTCCACACACCGTCACGGGGCATTTCACCTCTTGGACATTTGATTCTTTTGCTAATATTTCTTTGGCCTGAAAAAAGACAAATTAATTGTTTTAAGAAAGCATTTAGGCAACCAAGCTAATGAAAATACATACAACTGTACAAGTTTTGTTAGGTCATAGGCTTAAGGAACTTTAACGTATAAGTTAGGCCTTTTAGGCTGTACAATAAAAATGATCTAAAGCTGTAGTCTCAGAGTTTATAAAATGGGCAGAACTTTGATGTACAACTCCAGTGGTAAAATCTAGTGTTACATCAATTTCCCCAAATAAATCTTAACAATATGCCCAATTGGACTATTGTTGAATGGATTTAATTCTACAACAAGGTTTTTGTTGTTATAAAGGTAAAACAGAAGATGGGAAACCTAAGCATGGCCTAGCCTACAAAGTAATGAATGATACAACTTTTACAGCTCGGTACCTAAACAAGGGATTTTCCCTGAGCCCACTTTTATACATAAACCTACATCTATGCATGCAATGTTGAAATGCATATAAAACTTGGCCATTTAATAATCTTTCAAATGATATTCAATACTATTATTGATATAACCAGTGAGAAATTAGGTACTAATAAGTTAAACTGCAATAAAACATGGTTTACAGATTTTGTTTTGACACAGCTTTTACTGTTAATAATACTGTATTCATCATGTTGGCATACTCTTGCTTGGTAAAAGGCTCCATAGTTTAATAAATGTTGAAAAACTCTTAACTGACTTGGAAATACAAAGTTAAAACAGCAAATTACTCAACAACGTAAGTTATGTTCAAACAGCTGAGTTATCTAGCTATATGACCAATCAATAAAAGCTGACTTAATCAAGCACAAGGAAAAACTAAATATACAGCATTTAAGAATCAAACTACAGCTTTGAAAATGCGAAAAAGCTTGAGTTTATACACTTTATTAATTCAGTTAATTTTAATAAACTAGTGTACCTGTTGCTCGAAATCGAGCGATTGTCAAGTACCGGTATTATACAGAAGTTATTTTAAAACTACAGTAATAACAGTCATAATTTTCGATGAGTTTAAAAGACCCGACAAAATGCTTATGTAACTAATTGAAATACTCACACTATTTAATAGCACTTTGAAATAATAAACGCTTCTTGTAAAAATATTTTAGCATTTTTTGGACCCGGCCTTATTTTTTAGTGTTTTCTACCAAATGTTGGGAGTATTTCATTTGGTCCAAAATCGTTTGGTCCACAAGTTTTAAAACAGTTCGTTTGGTCCAAAATCGTTTGGTCCACAAGTTTTAAAACAGTTCGTTTGGTCCAAAATCGTTTTATGATCCAGTTGGGGAGTATTTCATTTGGTCCAAAATCGTTTGGTCCACAAGTTGTAAAACAGTTCGTTTGGTCCAAAATCGTTTGGTCCACAAGTTTTAAAACAGTTCGTTTGGTCCAAAATCGTTTGGTCCACAAGTTTTAAAACAGTTCGTTTGGTCCAAAATCGTTTGGTCCAAAAGTACAGGCAAAACCAGAATTACAATTGTGTATTGTGGAGTAAACTTATGAAATAGACTGTACGTTTCACTGTGGACCATTCGATCGGGTCGTTTTATTCAACACTCTATTACGAGTTCGTTTGGTCCAAAAGTATGAACTATTGCGTCCCTCACATAGAAGGCGTTCAAATAATCGCCGTCACGTCGTCAACCCAACCGCCTGCCTTCCGAGGCCTATTATTTGTTGTTTTGTGATATGTTTCTAAATAATATATATGTTTGCATTTCTAAACACGTACATATACATATATTTATTTATATATAATGTGTTTGTGTAATGTTTACTTTTTATCCCCAGTCAATCTTAAAACAACGCGTTTTAATTCCCTAGATTTGTGGATAAATATTGACTTTGCTTTGAGTTTGCATTTAATGTTAAACAGATGGTTTATTTTTTAATCTTACTAATATTATAAATCTAAAAGTTTGTGAGTTTGTGTGTGTGTGTGTGTGTTGCTCAATCACGCATAAACTACTGGACGGATTGGGCTTAAATTTGGCATGATAATAGCTCACATTCCCGATTAATATTAAAGCATATTATTATCCCAAAAATCCTTTCGGGCTCCGCCCCAGTGGCTCTACTGGCTCAGATGCTACTGCAAACCATCTGTCAAGATATAGGTACTACTGTAATTTAAGGTTTCTGTGTTTGGATGTTATTAGACACGATAAGAACTCAATGAGCTTCTTCTGCAGATGAACAATCTGTTGGTTACGAGAAATATAAGCCGAATTAATAAATGCCACAATTCAAGCGCATTAAATTGACTTTGGTCTGAGAAACTGTTTATAGTATGGAGTTTGGGCCTTTTTGATGTCACCATCTGGGTAAGTAACTTTGAGAGATCAATAATTTTTGTTGCTGAGTAGCGCCAGTAAACATGCGCATCACTTCTTTAGTTGAATAACATTCACTGACTCCATTGTGTATTCTTTCACTAAGCTGAATGAATGCATCAAAGTAAACTCTCTAAAAGTATGTAATAAACTGGAATTTAGGATTAATAACTTTCTATAACTTATCATGCATTTATTCATAAAATTATTAAAAATTTTATCCAGTTACTGAAAACCACTATTATTAAAAAAAAATATGGGCAACGTGCCTGAATGTTTGTCTCAGACAATTACGCATATCACAAAGAGTAGACCTATAATTGATGTACCTTAATGATATGTCTATGATAAATAAAAGTAGCCTATTTAACATTCATTTTCATAGACTGTAAAAGCCTTCTGCACTTTTATTATTCTGTATCGTATTACATAGCCTAATGGGAAATTGTCCAATGATTAAATACACATGTATAACAATAATCTCGTGATGATCTGTCAGTATTGAATAATAAGACAAAATATCGGCAAAAGTAGTCAAAAAGGCAGACACCAACCAGTACAATAGATATAACATAATGCAATAAGAAATGATTGAAAGAGTTACTGTAATATTAAGATTATATAACTGTTCGTAATGGAACGTTATATTGCTAAACATGATATTATACAGAAGAACATCAATTTTAAAATAAGAAAATAAGATCCTTATATATAATTCTGTAAGACAAAATTTTTACCAGGAAATTGTGGACGTCCAGAAAATATGAGTAGGCTAATTAATGTAATTTTCATGTTCTATTTTAACCTTTTGATTAAGAATTATAGACAACCATGATCAATAGTAAACACTCCATTGTAAATAGGTACCGGTACAACAATACAAATTAAGGTGTATGATAAACATTTAAAACACGTTGGTCCACTGAACACTCTGTATATTAGAAGGTCGCCAAATGTGATAAAAACTGTTAATTTATAAGATTTCCAACCGTATGATACACTATTGAGCTTTAAGTTTGTTTATGTACGCTTTAGTGGTTTGAATACAACAAAACATGGCGTCTTTAACGTTAAAAACATAGAAACTCAACATGTTTAAAGCAAAAATTGTATTAATATTATTATTGTATACGACGACGGATATTTGAACGCCTTCAATGTGAGGGACGCAATAGTTTATACTTTGGACCAAACGATTTTGGACCAAACGAACTGTTTTACAACTGTTGGACCAAACGATTTTGGACCAAATGAACGGCAATATAAACGTACAGTATATTTCATAAGTTTACTCTACAATGCAACATTTTACTTCTAGTTTGGCCTGTACTTTTGGACCAAACGATTTTGGACCAAACGAACGTGTTTTTAACTGTTGGACCAAACGATTTTGGACCAAACGAACGAGTTTTTAACTGTTGGACCAAACGATTTTGGACCAAACGAACGGCAATATAAACTGTGGACCAAACGACTTTGGACCAAATGAAATTGGATAAAACGATTTTGGACCAAACGAACGAGTTTTTAACTGTTGGACCAAACGATTTTGGACCAAACGAACGGCAATATAAACTGTGGACCAAACGACTTTGGACCATTTGAAGATGATCCCAAATGTTTCCCGACTTAAAGCTGTTACCAGTAAACATTTCTTGCATGTATTTATTTGATCTGACTTGAGGTAGGTTTACTTTACCACTGTGACAACATGATGAGTATATTCTTCATGGTTATTTTTTACTTTCAAAATAAGTTGCTTAGCATAACTGGCAAAAATGATTCATCTCCCCAAGTGATTGTGTACCTGGATTCCTTACTGTGAGACCAGGCCTCTCCTCTACTCTTCTCATACGCACAAGATTTCCTATTAATTGTCTCCTCCTCCTGTTTTCAATATTTCTCCTAAACTCAAGAAATTGTCTGTTCTTCCAACAAAACTGATTCACTGTTTAGATTTGTCTATAACCTCCTAAATATTACAAACATCAATATTTACTCCGAAAAAACTGGTGAGTTTCATTTTATATACAGCTGTTTTTGTTTTTAAATTGGTTTTCAATGTAATTCTTATGGAGGAAAATGCGACCTTTGAGAGCGTCTCGTGCCCTTAAGGGCAAGAGTTTTAAAATTCTAAAACCTTTATGCAAAACTACGAATTGAGACGAATTATTTGACACCAAAAACGTTAAAATCGGCCAAGAAATAAAGGAGGAGTTTTGTTCACAAAAAACAGCCCTCACGTATTAATATAAGAGATATTTAAAAGTTAAAATAATGTACAAATTTTATCAGATTCTTCAATATAATACAACATGGGAGTAGGCTATACAATAATTATATTATTAACAGTAAAAACTGTGCAAAAACGAAATCTGTAAACCATGTTTTATCGTAGTTTATTAAGTAGTAATTTCTCACTGGTTTATATCAATAATAGTATTATAATAGCATTTTATTTGAAAGATTACCTACTAAATGGCCAAGTTTTTTACGCATTTCAACATTGCATAGATGCAGGTTTATGTATCAAAGTGGGCCCATGAAAATTATCGTAACTAATTAATTTAATGCAATTTTTACTTTATTTAGGATATAACATGGACTATGTAATGGTAACTGTTGAATTAACTTAAACCTTTTATTTATTGCAAATTTAATATTCTATCCAAAGATTTCAACTATAACTCTAAAGTAATTGGTTAAGTTTTTATTACATAAATTGTGGAGCAAAGTCTAATAGGCCTAGCCTAAAATAATAAAAACACAAAATTCCCTATTACAGCCACACGGTTGAAAACCGGACATGGGTTTAGGGGACCTTTTTTGTTCCTATTAGTGAGTAGATCCTACTGGCGAAGTTAACACGCTCAGTAGAAACTCACCCTGTATAACCATGACATCATTATGTCTGTTAAGTATTTATTAGTTTTCTTTATTTCATTCATATTTAAATTATTCCAAATAAGTCAATCAAAATTCATTAACCAATGTTTAGGTTTAGCCTACAATTTATTATTATTAGTTTAAATTACAATTCATTTCGATATTACTAATTATCATATGTTATTATATTATAGCCTATCACATTGAATCTAAAAAGAATATTTCATTATTAAAATTGGCAACACTGTAAATGCAAGCAGTTTAACTACTCAAATTTAAATGTACAACAATTAAATATTTAAAAAACATGTGAATGTGACTGTGATGAAGATAAACAAAGGAAGATAGAATGAGAATGACCTGAATGAAGATGCATGAAAAAAAGTATTGGAATCAAAAACTAAATTCAAGAAAATTATTATTATTAAAGTCAGTTTTATTCAACTTCAAGAAGAAAAGTTATTTATTTAAGAAGATTTATTTTACCAAGAACAGTAAGTGATTCATAAATGTAAATTAAACAAAATACAGTCCACCTGTTCAAAAACTATACCTAACTATTTTTCTTATATCTATTTTAGTCACTAAATTAATTCATTTTTTCAAATAACAATTTATCAAAATTTCATGACACTGTCCTTGATTATATTGAAATATGCAAAAAAACATACCAAAGGTCAACTCACCCCATGACTCACAGTCCAGGGAATGCCTAACCAATACCAGCTGACCTAGTGAGATCATCCCCTTCACAACCGTGATTTAACTCAACCCACTTGTTATTTTTAATGTGCTAAGCTTAAATAAAAATTGCTTTTCAATACGTTTTCGAGCGCCGGCGGGATTGCCGTCCGGTATTAGGCCGCGGCAAAAATCCGGTATTAGGAAATTTGAATCCGGTATTAGGCAGTTTCAAAAAAAGTTATTAGGTATTGGTTGAATAAAACACAATTTCTGGTAATATATATATAATTATTATTGACTCCAAACGCTGAAAATTAAATCAGGAAATATCAGCAATCGTTTTAATAACAACAAATAAGGCTTACTAAATTACATACCTATGAATAACTTATATAAGTTATTACAGATGAATTCATAACCTAACCTTAACCTTCCGGTATTTGGTACCTTACCAGGCAATTCAAAGTTGTAAAACACAACTGGTTTCGGTGCCTGTGTGGCACCATCATCAGGCTATAAAAGGACGGTTTTCTTTCTTCATACGAAGGGTAAGTTATCATATTGATTACCAGAAAATGACTTATGATAAATAATAGGCCCTAACTGATCAGTTAAGAAAACAGTCCAGCCCAGTCTGGACTCAAACTCCGCCGGGTTAACCCTCCAAGTGTCCATAGTTTAGGCCTTAATGTCCACCTATTTTTGACGCATTTGCAAGGTTTTATTAAAACGGATCTGAGAAGCTTAAAACAATGTTAATTCTAATGTTCTATATACCATTTTGTTTGGAAAATCATGGGCTTCAATATTATATATAAAACATAAGGAACATTTAAAAAAAAAAATTTTTTTAGGTAAAAAAATATAATTTCGAAAATTTTCAAAAAAAAAAATAAGTTCGCGCTCAATGAAATTGTATAAATTATAGGCCTATAAATATTTGAAAATAGCCACTTTGTTCTAAATTTTATGAGGATTACAAATATATAATAATATAAGGAAGTAGATTTGCAAATAAATAAGTTATGGGCAAAAAACTGATTTCAGTACATAGCGTTTAGCTAAGAATGCATAGCCTAACCATAGCTAGGAATCTGGCTGATAATTTACATCAATATCACTACCTACTTCTTCAGGATCATCAACCAGCACTTCAAAACCACTTAAATCTTCTTATAATGCACCACGTATATCACTACTTTTGATTTTTAACACTAAAACAATGATAAACGTAATAAAACACATCAGTCATCGGTCCGAGGGTAACCTAGCTGTTTACAAATACACGCACGTCAGCAGCGTCAGCTGTCTGCTACAATATTTTCGGAACTAAAATGAATAGCGCTTAGAGACAGACCTCTGCAGAAAGCTTAGAATATTACGGAAAGAACGATACCTAACTCGATCCAGTTCAATCCGATTCAGTCAGTCATAGAGCCTTCGCCGTAAACGATGTCTGCGTGTCGAAAAATCGACAAGTAACACTACACAAAGTGTGCTGCTTGTCGAATTTTCGTCAAGTAACACTGGGAGGGTTAACTTAGCATAAATGTCTCGTAACTTATTCGTATTTGTGCCAAAGGTCAATGTAAACCTAGTTTCATAATTGTCTGAGGAAGAGACCTCAGGCTAGCTAACTTAGCCTAAAATAAGTTAGCCCTCCAATTTTAAGTTTGACAGACCGATTGTGTCGGTTTTCCAAACTTGACAACTTAGTCCCGCCCCCAGAAAGTCAGCAGATTTTTATTAATAAATATGTTGTATAAAACCAGCTGGGTCTAGGCCTAGGTCTAAAATACTTACAGTAGAAGTAGGCCTAGTCAATTTAGTCAGAGCCTTAGTAAAGACATTAGTCTAGTACACAGGAAAACCTAGGCCTAAGTTAGTTATGCTAAAAGGTTCACTTTAAATTCATTGGCGTCAACAAATAAATCCCTACATAGTTGAATGATTGAATTCGCAACCGGTATTTATAAATAAATGACAGTTGGGTCTTACCTTGTCGCAAAGCGTTTTCACTTGACTCTCGGTAAGCTGCTTGCACTCGTTCAGTTGCTCTATCCACTGATCTAACTCTTTTAAAGATGCCTTCTCTTCCATATTAAATGCTAAATTAGATTAGGCTAGTGTAACGGTACAATAATAGATCTTTAAGAACACAGTAAACCTTTTCATAAAGTTAAAACTAGACAAAACACTAGACGATTTTCCGATTCATCTGGAACATTAGTGACAAAATGGCGGAGAAAAATGTTCGTCGCTCCCTTCTCTTCACCTAATTTGTTGGTATGAATGACGTCATTGCTCTAACATGCAGTGTAGCCGTAAGGAAATTTTGTTTTAAACAAAAAAATTGCTATTATGCTGTATACTGTATGAACATAGATTATGGAATGAAGCATATTTGTATAAAGATAAAAGGCTATGATCTTGGCTGGTGTTGGAATGATGACTGCATTAAAAATATAATAATTTTGAGTAATAGGCTACCATTGATAAAACATATTCCCTTAAAAATGTATTATTATAAAAGCATACAAATTAATATCATTTATGACCGGAGTGGATTTTGTCCACGACCACCTGTAATTTTGTCTTGATTTATCTTTGAATTTGTTATCACCTAAGGAGTCCACAACCTCTGTACTCTTTAACCTAGTCAAGGATATCTCCGACGCATTTGATTTGAATCTATTGATTCTGTCAATCTCAGTCTTTGTGATCTAAGCAAGGCGTTCAACGCCATGATATCCTCCTTGACAAAGCACGTCAAGTAAGGCATCACTGGACTGGAGGAGTCGTCCACGAATCACTAGCTAACTATTTGGAAAACAGGAAACAAATTGTTTCACTACATGGAGCTTCCTTTAGCATCAAGGAAATGTGCCAGCGCCATATGGCATAACTCAATAACTCATTTATTTAACCAAAAATAACAATTACATGCATTGGTCATGTCATTGGGCATCCCCCAACGTTCAATATTGAGTCCTATGTCCTGTTCTTAATAAAGATCACCGATCCATCCCTTAACAGGCGGGCGCTCTTCTTCACAACCTGAAAGTCCTACAGAGGGAGCATTTCCATTGAATAAATCCAAAGCGAAAGGTTTCTATTAGACGCCTGCAGATATGAAAATAAACCACCTAACCCTCAAAAAATTCCTACAAAAGTTTTTTTTCGTTTTTTGGTAGGGTTAGGTGTGCTGATCAACATACCAAAAGTTTACCAAAGTTTGACAACTGGAAAGGCCTCAATTTCAAGATGGCGTCCAAGATGGTGTCAAATATCAAACTTCTATAAATTTCATCCCAAAGATGTAGTTAGAGGCTACTTATTCGTTTTAACGGTGCCTAAACTTAAATGAAACAAATACATTATACATAAATTTCAATTTAAAACAAAAGGTCACAATATTTTATCATGTTTGAGTAGTTATAGTATTATTTTTATCTCAAACAGCCTAATAAAAACTAGGCTCTCATTTATTTTTCAATTGTCTTATTTTAAATTGTTGTAAAAACGTTCACCTAATTTTAGACAAAATCATTAAGTAAACATCCCTAATGATACATTTTTATTAAAAAAAACCTCACAAAATAAAACGTATATCATTTAATTAAAGTAAAACGAAAATGGCTATGTTCAAAATATTTTGATTGTAAACAGTGAGGTTGACATTTTTATAGTTTTTTTTTCTTCAGTAGGCCTACTTGTTTAGGGCACCAGACCTTAAATATTACATGTAAAATACATTAAAAGGGGATAAATGTAATAATAAATAGGCTTACTACCTAGCAGAAGTCTACTGAAATAAAGAAATTTCATACTTTTACTGAATTCAGCATGAAAATAGTACAGTTTTTTTTCAGGTAAGTGTTTTGTAAATAAATTTCACATTTACAATTGCCTAACTTGTTTATTGTTTACGAGTTCTGATATCGTAAACAATACTAAATGTCCTACAGAAGATTTATATTGTTCTACAGACACTGTACAAGTTCGTAAAAAGGGAGTTGAAGGAATAAACAAAGCAGGTTTAGAAAGAGGAGAAGAATTAATTGTGTGTGTACCCAGAAGATAAAGTTTACGCGAAATGCAGACATCGGTATATTAATAAGGACATACAAATTTAAGCTGGGAATAAATTAGAAACGTTGAATAAAATAAAAAGGAATATGGAATAAAAAGGGAGTTGAAGGAATGAACAAAGCAGGTTTAGAAAGAGGAGGAGAATTAATTGTGTGTGTACCCAGAAGATAAAGTTCACGCGAAATGCAGACATCGGTATATTAATAAGGACATACAAATTTAAGCTGGGAATAAATTAGAAACGTTAAAGTGAAGCACTAGGGTATCTCGGTTCCTTTAACAACCAAACAGACTGTCTCTTCTGCGGTACTGCAGTCGCAGAAAGAAGTTATAGTGCTAGCTGTGTAAAGACAGAAGAATTTGTAAAAACAATAATTGCCTGCTTTATTAGTCGATTGGACGAATGGGCGGTTATTGTGAGAGGAAGAATATAATATTACGGACATGATCTGATCGCCGCTAACTGTGTTTACCACCACTCCTGTAGCAGTAACTTTCGTTCTGGCTTTAGGTACCAGTTCAGTTTCAAAATGGACAAACTGCGAAAAAGTAAGCCCAGACGACTCAGAAATGAAGATCCAGAACAAGCATTCCTGAAAATATGTAGATATTTAGAAACCAATGATGATGAACAGCTAACAATATCTCACGTATAAAAAAAATTGGAAATTTCTTGAAAGAGAAGGTTCACAACCGTTTGGAAGAAGTTATTTAAAAGAAAAGCTAAAACAGAAGTATAGAAATAACCTTTATTTTTCTGAAGGATATGGTCTTCTAGATATTGTCAAAATGAGGGAAATCAAATATTCTTAGATCCTATTTCAGCACACTTGAAAAGGACGAGGAATCCCAGAAAAAGGCTATCATTGAAACACCTTAGGATACTCACCGTCTTAGGATTGATATAAAGGCCTCCACTCTGTCCGTTACAGACCAGTATCCAAGTGAGAAATTCCTGAATCTGGATTCCGCCCTTTCTTTCATAACTGAATGCTTGCAGACTTTGTTAAAATGGTGTTTTAGTAGGCAAAAATACAGATCGTAAGAACGCAGGAATTGGTCAAGCCATCATCTAAGCAGCCCGACCACGCACTGTTGTTGCTCCTTTACAAATCGGTTTTGCAGTTCAGGTACACCATCTATATTGATCTCAATTTCTTGTCGATACTTTACATGCCATAGGATTTAGTTCTTCATACAAAGTCAGCATTCCAGAGGCTTATTAGCAGAAATGCAACGATTGAAGATTGGGAAAATTTGTTTCTAACTCCGAACCAAGCTAGGACTGACATAGAGATGCTCGGAAGCGGCAGTTTTATGTGGGGGCAGAAGTGCCGATTCCCTAACTCATTGCGCTGTAAACTCTTTAAGTAAAAAGATTGTTTCTGCTCCCTACATCATTTGTTACTCCAGAGCAACTTCCTCCAACCGAGTCATTAACAAAATACCATTGCCTAAGAGTGTATTTTTAAATCATGAATTGGACTGGAATGGATAAAAATATGAATGCTATTAATTTGGGATGGAAACTAGAGAGCAATAAGTATGTACCAATAATGACTAATAAACCTGTTGCACCAGAAAGTCTTCTACATATTCTACACTGCATGTCGAACATTCGATGCAGTTGCACAAGATATGGACTACCATGCACGTCTGCATGTGGACTGTGCCAAACCGAAAACTGTGAAAATAAATTCAATGAGTCTGGGTTGAAGAAGTTGACAATGAATACTTGTAAATGTGTTGTTTTTTAAAAAATTAAACTTTTGTTGTCATATTAAATGTGTTGTTTGCATTCAGTGGCCCTGAAAACATATAGGTAGACACTAGTATTACTTTTCTAGGACAAAAATTGCAGGCGTTAGGTAATTTACACCATATTGGACGCCATCTTGAAATTAAGGCATTTCCGGTGGTCAAACTTTGGTAAACTTTTAGTATGTTGATCAGTACATATAATAATACAGAAAACCGCAGAAATACCTCTTGAAGGAATTTTTTGAGGGTAAAACTATAATTTCCGCCGTCTATATATTGAATCGTCTCAAAAACAGGGAATTGAGGACGATGCGGTCAACCTCTCTCTGGCCTCTGGTTAAGGTTCTGTGTCCTCAACACACTCCTCAAGGACGTGATTGAGCCATGTAAACGAGATCATCTTGAAAATTAAGAAGTTAAACGGGGCAAAGCCCGCGGGTTACATCTAGTCTATATATATAAAAGGCAAAGCCCTCACTGACTCACTGACTGGACTAACTGACTCACTCACTCATCACTAATTCTCTTACTTCCCATTTACCTAGGAGGCTGAAATTTGGTACACTGATTCTTTAGGCATTAAATAGGAAAACTAAGCTGTTTTTATTCTGATCGGACTCTCGGGCTCCGCCCCAGTGGCTCTGGAGTTTCCCATGTTAACCTTATGAGTACTAGAGTACTCATATTTAAATGAAATTAATGAATCTTAACAGCTGTTTCAATTACAAGTTGGTTCTGTTCTATGATGTTCAATAGCATTAAAGCTACAAGGATTACCAACAGGGTGCAGCACTATTATTTCTTTTACCCTTATGGGTGATTTCCTGTTAAAGGGAACATTCATTATTATCGATGATTTTTTTCTCGATATATCGATATTAACAAATTGAAACATATCAGTTGACAACTACGAAAAATATTGTTCAGTATCAACAAACATTAATGAAATGAAACTGTTCTAAAAAAGAAAATAACCTAACATAACTAACCAAACTTGCTGTAACATTTAAAAATTCCGTGTTTATAACTTGCCTTTTGTATTCAAACCCAAACGGAATTTTTTAATGGTACTGCAAGTTTGGTTGGTTATGTTAGGTTAGCTTAGAAACAGTTTCATTTCTTCCATATAATAGACTATTTTAGCCTGAACAACATCAGTTAGTTGTTGTCAATTTGTAATGGATCGGAAAACCAAAACATCGATATATCGAGAAAAAAATCATCGATAATAATAAATGTTCCCTTTAACAGGAAAGTACCAAAAAGAACAATACGCCCCTCTAAAAATCAGACACTTATATGGGAGTATGTTTTATCTATGCTTATATTCAAACTGTTGATAGCTGAACAACGAAGAAATTATAAGGAGAATATTAAATCAATGACAAAGGCTATTGAAACATAATATTACCATTTTGTTGATAGTAACCAATTTATTTCGTCAGAGTGGCTATTCTGACAATTGTTTTCTTGTTCTTCTTTCTTCCTCCTGCCTCTGCCTTCTTTCTCTCTCGGCAATCTTCCTTTTCGGCGAGTCGGCTGGCAACGTGGACAAGAATTTAGCTCTATACGAAGTAAATTTTCTTGAAGATGTCAGAAACTTTGCAAATCAGAGGAACCTTGCGGGGTCACAGTGACTGGGTTACCCAAATTGCCACCAACCCCAAGTACCCTGACATGATTTTGTCTTGTTCGCGAGGTAAGTTCTAGTTATAGGGCTAGCCTAACCTCTCAAATGCACGCTATGTCTGTTGACTCATTAGGCCTATAAGTAATGTTTTAGGGAGTGTTGCTGGAAGTCAAATGTTGGGTAGATGAAATAATTTATATTTGTGCCGATTGGTAAAAAAATCGGATACACTTCCATATCTGTTGGCACAAACGACCGAATGACAATATCGATCGATATTTCGATTGTTCGATATGTTTTTTGGCTGGTTAGGTTAACCTAACCTAACTACATAAACGATATATCGAATTAAACAATCGAATAATCAATATTACTCAATTGGTTGTTTGTGCCAACAGATATGGAAGTGTAGGCCTACCCAAAAAAACTAAGTTAGTAGGCCTACAGCGTCTGCAGGTCAAAATCCCTTTGAGTCAAATAATAATGTAGGCTTGTGTGAACCTGGCAATAACTCCAGCAATAAGTAGTGAGGGCGCCCGATAAAATCTATTGCTGGCCGTTTTGCGGGAAAATACGGCCGCGTACCAAATTACCGATAATGTTATCAGATAGAGGACACTTAACGGACACAACAGTATCAATATCATGTACCTGGGGGAAAAGTTAGGGGTGTAAAATCGGTAATAAGTATTGCGTGCGCCCGATAGGCTAAAATATTGCTGGACGTTTTGCAAAAAAATATGGCCGCGTAGTCTTAAATATACAAGCCTACCATATTACCGATAATGTCACCAACTTAGAGGACAATTTAACGGACACGACAGTATCAATATCATGTACCTGGGGGAAAAGTTAGGGGGGGGGGGTAAAGTCGGCAATAAGTATTGCGCGCGCTTGATAAAATCTATATTGCTGTATGTTTTGCGGAAAAATACGGCCGCGTACTATATTACCGACTGGCGGAGCGAGCTGGCGTAGTGGTTAGAGCACGAGACTTTAGTTCCTGAGGTCCCGGGTTCGATCCCCGTCATACAGGTTATTGGCAGTGCTGGGGGTAGGGGTGCTGTGAGTAGCAAGACAGGGGTAGCGGATTTTATCGCCCTGGAATTTAACCCCTGGGCAAACGTGACGTCACAAATCAGGGGGTAAAATTCCGGCCGCGAACCTTTAGTTTTGCGACATCAGCTCGATAGATTAAACGCGGAATTAAACATATATTTTCACGGTTGTGAATTTAATCAGAACACACTAAATTATTAAACCTAGAGTGTACGGCCCAGATTAAGTTTTAATTTAATAGTAAACTATTTATTATTAAGTACGATATCTTAATTTATTTGTACAGTAACCTCAACTAATCGAACAGGTTTTTAATTTAAATTTTGAGATTCGAGAATTAGGATTTGGTCTTTAAAGCTAACTGTTGGTTAATATGACGTTTAAACAAACTTTAGAATGGTAATTGACTCAAAGATTTCTTTAATGATTTATCATACAACCGTGGTAAACAATGTTTTTCGTTACTATTGCAACAATAACAAAATCCTACCTCATTTTAATTTTGTTTTGTACATTTTTTTTGTAGTGTTTATTTGCGGACGATCCCTTTTTACCATAGGCATAGTGAATTTCATCAACCAACATATGCCTTATTGGGAATTAATTAATTGTTTACGAATATGCTTCTTCTTTCTAGGAATTTTAGCATTTCCGATCCCATTTTCGCAACGGGAACAATACGCTAAACTCTAATGATGTTACTTTTAGGCTTTAAATAAATAAATACCATGTCGTGTAACGAAAACTTTGCTTGTATCTTGTATTTCAAATTTTTGTCAATGAGTTCTGTACTGTAGCCTACTGTATTACTATAGATTTGGAAAGCATAGATTAATATTAGCCTACTATAGGTATTAAAATAAGTATTTTTATGACTCTTGCCTAAGACTATAATTCATTCCATTGAAGAGGCCTATTTGACTTTACCATGTTTTGGGTTTATTAGTGACTTTTCTATCATCATCATCAATAGTCAAGAAAAATTGTATCAGCAATCTGACACATACTTTAACTCCCATTAGCTTGTCAATCATGTATTAGTGGTAGGAGTAACTAACTGTGATATTCTTTATGAAAATCACAAAAGATGCAATTTTAGAGTTAACTGGCAAATAAGTACCTAACCCAAATGTTAATATTTAGTACTGGCTTGAACATAAGGCATGATCACCCGTACTGATATAAAAAATCAGCTGTTTATGACTTCCAATGCTATTCTTACGGAGAACATTTCACGTCATATTAAACCTTTTATTGACACTTTTGGTATTCCACTATTTTCCCCGCCGTCCCGGAGTAATTGCTTTTTATATAAGACCACTCCTATATGTCTTTAACTTTCCAGACTTTCAAGGAATCGCCTTACAAAATTAAAAACATGACTAATGTCTTGTAGGAACAGAAGCACCTAAAAACCCCAATAAAAAAAATCAATTAGGCCTATTTACTCAAGACTGAATACAAGATGTATTGACCAACATGTTGACCTATCTATGCATTTCATATGTAAAAAATGATGAATAAATGTCTTATGTCTTATTGTTGTAAATTAAACAAACTAAGGAACAATTAATTACTGTCATAATATACCTGTACACAATTTTTTCATTTTGATTTCAGTTAAGCCTTCGAATCACTGATCAATACGTGTACTGGTGAAATTACCTACTGTCAAGTGATCCTTTTGACCTTGAAAGGCGACCGGTTTCGATCCTCGATGAAATGAAATGAAATATTTTTTGTATTTCTTTACTTTCAGTTGCTTATTCTTTGGTCTCACATTCCATATAGTTCAGAAACATTAAGCATGATAGGCCTACTGTATATAATAGAATATCGATTGAGAAACAAAAAATTACATGTAATAAAAAAATTAATTAGCACTCATCACTAGTCTGCTGAATTGTGATAACTGAAAATCGTTGGAATTAAAACCGCAGCTACATGATACAGTAGTTGGTACGCCTGCAGCGGCCTCCACAGCTGGGTGTGCCGCTCCACACATCCCCACTTAAAAGACGACTAAATGAGCTGTCAGTCAGGTCAATTGTCTACTAAGGGGATTCTCGTATTTAATAATTTGGTTTTACAAGCCGGACAACAGGACTGATGTTGAAATAACTTAACTGATATTAACGATTTAATTAATAAGACAGTCTAGTGGCCTGACGACGAAGTAAATTGCCAATCTACTGGTGGCCCCGACCCCCTTTCATTTCATGGAAATTCTATGACATCTGGTAGTTATTTTGATAATTATGAACTATTCATATACAAAAACAGATCATGATTTGCTTATGGCCCCAACAGTGTATGCTGTGAACAATTGTACTCGCTTTTGGTGTTCAAGAGGTTAACCATTAGTCCTTACAAAATGGTTTGTTCCAGACAAGACCTTGATTGTATGGAAATTGATCCGTGACGAGGCTAACTACGGAACTCCTCAGAAGCGGCTGCACGGTCACTCTCATTTTGTCAGTGACGTTGTGTTGTCTTCTGACGGTAACTACGCCCTCTCTGGCTCCTGGGACAAGACCCTCCGTCTGTGGGATTTAGCGGCCGGAAAGACCACGAGGAGGTTTGAAGATCACACCAAGGTGGGAAAAGGCTCATGAAGCTTTTTTTTATACACCTTTTTTTATATTGTGAAGAAATTGGCGTATGGTAAAAATGAGCCTGAAGCTTTTTTTTATTAATTTTTTTTATGTAAATGAAGAGGATGAGATCATATCAGGTAAAATGGTTTTAAATTGTTGATGAATTTGGCCCAGCTAGACTCAAACTTCCATCGACAACCTCTCTTAGTTGGTTGTGATTGTGATTTTCAGATCTTAAAATGTAGATACAAATCTTACTGGTCTTGGTGTGATACAGTAGTTGGTACACCTGCAGCGGCCTCCACAGCTGGGCCGCTCCACACATCCCTACCTAAAAGACGACCAAATGAGCTGTCAGTCGGGTCAATTGTCTACTAAGGGGATTCTCGTATTTAATAATTTGGTTTTACAAGCCAGTCAACAAGACTGATGTTGAAATAACTTAATTAACTGATGTTAACAATATAATTTAAAATTGATTTGGAACTTCCAAATTGTGTTTTAGGTTGTGAAGGTTTAAAGTAGGCTACCAAAATAATTTTCATAGATTATTTTTATTGTAGATAATTATTTTGTATAACGTTTTGACAATATGCTCTGCAGGCATAAACGTTTTTTACCCTATATTTTTCAAGAAACTGAACTGAGGTGGGTAGGTCTAGCTTAATTGCTCTTGTTCCACAGGATGTATTGAGCGTGGCTTTCTCTGTAGACAACCGTCAGATCGTCTCAGGCAGCCGAGACAAGACCATCAAGTTGTGGAACACCCTGGCCGAGTGTAAATACACCATCCAGGTAAGTGTCAAACTTCATTCATTTTGTGACAAGAATTGTTCTATTACTTAGTCTCTACAATACATATACTATATTTACTCATTTCCTATACCTATTTACTCATTTTAGAGTGAGACAATGATAAAGCTTAAGTGCTGAAATCAGCTGTTTCACTCCGGAGCGGTCTAATCACTTCAAACACTATGTTACTATTTTTTTTTTAAAGCTACTGTATGATGCATAATTTTTCACAATGATTTTAAGTGATTGTACGGATATGGGACTGACAGTAGCTAAAATACATTTATTCCTACTTTTTTGTTTTCAAACTAACCTGGTATTGTTTCCTATAGTACTTAGGCCCCCTACTCTTATCTCATTTAAATGAATCAGATCACATTGTTGTTGCAGAAATATTTGATGAATCCCAGTCATAAGTCATAAGTAATTTATTCAGCCAAATCAACCAAATACAATTAGTGTTTGCTATGTCAATATAAACTAAAATAAACTGGGGTAAAACTAAAATACACAACTTCTTAGGTAGGCCTATTTAACATTTGTAAAACTATTTACAAGTTGTGACTTGTAGTCATGTTTTATTGTATTTTTTATAGTGTGATTTAATAGTATTATAGTCCATGTTTCTATTTATTATTTATAGCCAGGCCTATCTATCTTTTATCATGGTTCTAAGTTTAATTAATGGTGCAAAAAAATAAGTCAATCAATGATTGTGGTATTTTCTTATAATAAACAATTTGTAATCTCTTTTACCTTTTCAGTTGTAATGTACTTTATAGCTACTGGATGATGCATAACTAAGATATAGTTGATTACACATGATTTTACGGATATGGGACTGACAGTAGCTGCATTACATGTTTATATACTTTTTTAATTTTTTTATTGTATTGAACTAACTTAACATTGTTAGTATTGTCAGATTTAAAGGGACAAAAAAATAAGTGAAATAACAAAATGGCGGCTGTGTGATTAACTAAGGAGTTCCAGATAATTTAAGCTAACTAAACAAAAGGAAACTTTACTTATTTAAAATATTACAAATAAAGACTTATTATTAAAACATCTTCCAATTGTTTCTGTATCAACATTGTTATCAGGTGAAACATACTTGTATACATTTTGTTTCGCCTTCACCATTTAGTAGTAATCTAATTCAGTTAATTTATTTACGGTAGAGCATAAATCAGCTGACAACACACGCTTAATTGAGTACATAAACATTTTTTCAGTCGTATAATATGACAGACACAAAATACAACAAAACAAATAAAAGAAGAACAAAATTATCTGTGAGAAATCAGCCAATTTGTGATTTAAGTATAACAATAAAAAAATTACCTACCTAAGTTTATTAGGTTCAAAGCGCAGGATTAATGTAGGCCTACAGTTAAAGTAGGGGAGATATCATGATTAGGCCCTAAATAAAGAACCTAGCCTCTGAGATTTCCACTACACTACAAAGGGGAAACGCCTGAAAGTGGATTCCATATGAAAACATGGATTGGTTGCCAATAAAAAGACAATTTGATTCTGAATATTCTGATACCAACCAAAGAAGCAAGTATAAAGTCCAATGTTTGAATGATAAAATATTTTTATATGATTGGTTTGATACTGAATGATGCATTAACTTTTAATAACATGATGTTTTATGATTGTACGGATATGGGCCTGACAGTAGAAAACCAAAAACATGAGACTTGCTTAAACATTGAACAGTTTATTTTCTTGCAAATTCTTGTATAGGCCTAATAATTATTAAATTTATTATGGATTCAACAAGATTAACTCAAATGTAGGTAATATCACTTGACAATATTCCAGGATGACGGTCACAGTGATTGGGTGTCTTGTGTCCGCTTCTCTCCGAACCACTCCAACCCTATCATCGTCTCCGCAGGATGGGACAAAGTTGTTAAGGTAATTTTAGTTCCATGACCTTCCTCATGGCTGCTGAATTAAGCTTTTAAATGCTTTAATAAAAATCCATGTTGAATTATTTTATATTTTTACGTCTATTGCAAAGTATGAATATTGTAATGCCCAAGTAAATTTTGTTCTTGTTTATTTTAAGTTACCTATTTTACCTATTACCAATTTGTATTTATAAATATGGTTTGAAACCGGACACCATGCCTTTTATCATCATCAGGTATTAAATAAATTGTCCTGAAAAGAGAAGCAGCTGATCTCAGTCGGTAACAAAGCTGGAAAGTAATTTATTTTAACTCTCCACTCCAGAGAAAATAATTAGTTAAGTTAAAAAGAGATCTTTAATTTATGTGTATAAATATACTCTCAGACCATTCTACATTTAGTTATAACATTGGTCTAGGACAATTATTTTAGCTTTGCATTTTATAATGCACACTATAAATCTTAATTTTAATAGATCTTAATTTTGTCCATGGTAGGATACCAGTAGCCAACAGTATCAGCTGTTGATTTGATATGCAGATGAAAGAAGTGTAAATTGACAGAGGTATCAATTTTGTGAAAAATAAAGAAGTGGATTATGATAGTGTAACACAAGGCAAATTTGTAGTGTGCTTAGTTACATTTTAAATCTGTGGGTTAACAAAGCGGAGTAGAAGGGTCAATTCAGGTGTGGTTAAAGAAATAATTTCTGGAGTAGTTTTAGGGGTTAGTGTTAAGGGCCTAAGTTGATCGTCTAGAAAAATTATTATTTATGTTTTTGTTTTACCAATTTGTTAACATACAACTTATGACATTGAACAGGTTTGGAACCTGACTAACTGCCGTCTGAAGATCAACCACTACGGACACACCGGGTACTTGAACACCGTCACAGTCTCCCCTGATGGCTCTCTGTGCGCTTCTGGCGGAAAGGTACCAACCTGGTTACAATGTACTGAGACAAATGTTAGATTAAGGGATGTTAATATATGAGTTAGATTTGGAGCTACTGAATGATGCATAACTACTTATACATGACATCATGATTGTACGGATATGGGACTGACAGTAGCTGGGTTTCAGTATGATAATATTTTTGTTGGACATCACTCACCTTATTGAAGTCACGAGAACGTAGTCCTTGTCATGTCACAATCATACACAGTTCATTGCACATAAAAATATACAAAAATAAAAATAAAAATAAATCCAAATTTAAAATATCAGACAAAAGTTCTCAACACCGACGTTTCGCCGCACCAAAATCAACGTGCGGCGTTTTCAAGGTTATTCCTCTTCTCTCACAACGATTGCGTGAGAAGAGGAATAACCTTGAAAACGCCGCACGTTGATTTTGGTGCGGCGAAACGTCGGTGTTGAGAACTTTTGTCTGATATTTTAAATTTGGATTTATTTTTATTTTTATTTTTGTATATTTTTATGTGCAATGAACTGTGTATGATTGTGACATGACAAGGACTACGTTCTCGTGACTTCAATAAGGTGAGTGATGCCCAACAAAAATATTATCATGCTGAAGTATTGACCTCACCTAATATACCATGTCGTTTAGGAGTAGCTGGGTTGTTTACACATTGGATGAGAACTAGTGTATTATAGCATTAAAGTAAAACTTAACAAAATTCCAAGGAAAAGATGCGGTTGGTACAGTCAATTCTAAGTAGGAATGTGTGGATTCTCGATAACGATTCTCTATAACACCGGATTCTCTATGCTTGGCCAGTATCGGTATCGAGAACCTGTTGTGAAAAATCAATAATGATATCAGCCACTTCTGTGAAGATTGCGTAATGGTAAAGTTACCACTTTTGCCTTGAGTGGGCATGAAGGTCACGGTTGCTGTAACCGAGGAAGACTACGATGATGTCTACACAACCGTGGGAAACGGTAATTATGTCTACAAGGGTGACAGTCAGAACTTTACCGTGATCACCGAAGATGGTTGATAACGTAAGAAGATGATTATGTTTCAATTATTGCTGTGCGATATTCAGGACTTTGACGAAACCGCAGTGATGATGTTTCCGTGACTGAGGAAGATATTCAGGATTTTCAGTGAATCCGCTAGGCAATGATGACTGTCTTCTTGACCTTGGGAGATGATCACTATACTAAAACGAGTTTGGCTTGATAAAAAATCTCAAAATGGCTTAAATAGAGTTGAAATAAATTAATAAAAGGTTCTTCTTGACATTTTTGTAATACCTGTCAATCCATAAAGAAAAATTTGTTAAAATGTTAAAAAAAGTTAAATTAGTAAGGTCTCTAGATAAACTTACATTTTATCAATGAATATCTACCTATCAAATCTTAAACCTGAACTAAAAGAGGAATATCCTTTAATTGAAGATATAAAATATGTTCTTGTTTTAAAGGGGGTCTTACCTAATATAGTTAGTGTATAAAAGAACTTGCACAACATTTTACAACTTTTCTTAATCTGGGTCTATTCATGTCACTATAACTACACTAACTTGTGAGGTAGATGTACTGTTATGTTCAACAAGCGTTTTATTTTTGCAGGACTGCAAGGCCATGTTGTGGGACTTGAATGATGGCAAGCATCTCCACACTCTGGACCACAACGACATCATCACCGCACTGTGTTTCAGTCCCAACAGATACTGGCTGTGTGCTGCCTTCGGGCCCTACATCAAGATCTGGGTATGTGTCTTTTCAGTGTGATTTGATATTTCCCTAAAGTTCCCAAGTTTAAAAACTATTACTTCATTATTGTCATCAAAATGTTCGTTTTTTTTATCATTTACGTAGGCCACTTAATTTATCCTAGTGTTATCTGGATTGCATTCATAACATTATTCATGTCGACTAACAATTATTTTTATCAAAAACAAAAGCTACCTACTGGATGATGCATAAACTTGATAAAACATGATTTTAACAATGAGTGTTCGGATATGGGCCTGACAGTAGTTGTTAGCATAAATGATACACTTTTCTAGTGTTCTTCTTTCATAGTGTTTGTTACTTATATCACATAAAAGGCAGCAGCGTGTAATAAGTTGTCCTATCAGTTTGAATTTGTTAAGAAATTCAGTAATTAACACCAGCACACTTCTAACAGTGGCAACAACTTCAACACAAAAGATGGAATGATGATTTCTATGAATAATCTCAAGTTACTTTTACATGTGACACACATATTTGACCAATCTTCCAAACCTATGTTGTGCAGGACCTGGAGAGCAAGGACATGGTAGAGGAGTTGAAGCCAGAGGTTGTGTCCTCCAACACATCCAAGGCTGAACCACCTCAGTGTCTGTCCCTGGCCTGGTCCACTGATGGTCAGACTCTGTTTGCTGGATACTCTGACAACATCATCCGAGTGTGGCAGGTCTCTGTCTCCTCACGATAAATTCCAACAATAAATGTCTTTTAATATTTCATTTCGTATTTTTATTTTGTTCCTGACATGACCTGAGTGAATGTAGTATTCTGTGTAAGGTAAAGCCATGTCGTTGATTTGGAAAAGATCGCCTAGCGGGAGAAGAGTTCAGGGTTATAGCTCTGTTATATAGCTTATATAAAACAACAACCACTCCTCTCTCCTATGGCAGTCTCAGCTGTCAGCTTAGTTTGATGAGTGATTGTGAGTTATTTACTTTAAATGTTCAGGATATTATATCTAAATGTGATAACCTAGTTTTCTTTTATTCTGTATATTCTATTCATAGTTGGTTTGGTTTGAGGATTGATTTAATTTGCTCTATATTAATTAATAACATAAACAATACTTTTTATAGGTTACAATTTTGTCTTACATTAATTGTGTATGGATTTGCTTATCATCAATTAAAAAAGATTTTCATCAAAAATTTATTTCCTTATTCCTGACTAGTATTTTTGAAGGTAATTCAATCCGTTTGGGTGTCTGTTGTTGGGAATTAAAACGCAGATAGCGACGCAAATTTGTATAACGAGCATCACTCATTGTGTGTTTAGGGGGGCCTGACAAAATCCCACCCCAGGCACCAATAAACCACGCGACGGTCCTGCATAGGCAAGCATGTTTCTTGAAAACATTTTTTCTCAGCTCCTGTGCATTGCAGGAAAAAATCTACATAATACTGTTAGAAAGATATTTGTCTAAAGATGTGCAGAATCCCTCTTTATTGAAATAGGCTCAAAAATTAGTACAGAAACATGAATTGAAAATTGGAAATATTTAAAAAAAATTGACATGTGCCTTTGTGATGACATGCTGGTGACAAAATATAAACATAAAATAAATTTAAAACATGGAAGAAATTCCAATCACGTGTTTTATTTACAGCGTGGGGTGAAAATAGAGAGTTGGTGCAATACACATTTTTGGTTGAGATTTTCGACCACGGGACAACCTCTAGTTGTAATAATTACGATTAAAACAGGCAAACAAGATGTTTTATCAATTAAGTATTGATTTGACTTGGCTAATGCATGTAATTGTTGATTTGGCCTAATAAATGATTTATGGACTTATTATTATTATTGACTTAAACTATCTGTATGATTAAAAACAATATGTGCAATTTATTTTAAATTTTTAATGTTTCTTTTGAAACCTATAGGCCCTTAGCTTAGCCACGGCCCCTTAGCACACTTAAAACAATATTCAGTAGTAAGCAAGTTGGTCAAATGGAAAGAGCGGGGCTTGATCCAAGAGGTCCTGGGATCAAATCCATCAGTCATCAATGTATTCATGGGCGCCCGCAGGATTTGTAACAGGGGTGTTCAATAATAGGTCTAACAAACATCTGTGGGGTCCGAACAATTTCTGAAAATATTGTGTTTTAAATCATATTTTTATGCTATTTGGTAACACATAGAACCAACCAAAACAAAATACATTAGTATATTGTCAATCAGGGAAGGTAGGTCAGTAGATATAATAGGACAATATGACCCCACTTTCGGCGTTTTAGAGGCACTTTTAGGGCACTTTTTATAGGGGAAAAATGAGAAAAAAATGGAAGAGCTTTTTTTGGCCACTTTTTTTAAAGATCCAGCTCTCGACCTATACACCCCTATATAAATTTTCTACTTTTGTTAATACTAAAAATCACGTCTGGAATATGGCTCATTTTTTGGCCACTTTTTTAAAAGACCTGGATCTCGTCCAATACAAGCCTATATAAATGTTCAAACTCTATTAAAATTTCAAATCCACATCCATTCCCATGTATATTTTCAAAATCATGTGAGGTTTGTGCGTGAACTCGGGCATGCTCCCGGCTTATGACGTGCTCCCTTGGACATCCTTAGTGGAAATCCATGAGTTCTGGCTACCGGTACTTGGGAACCCAAGCCATTTGACATACAACGAATCACCTTTTTTCCTAATTATCTTCTCTACCAAATACATGTCCTTATACTTGGTCTTTAACAACTCCTCTGTATAGAAGCCTCCCCTGATTATATTGCCATTTTCATCTTTCAAGATATAAGTCACAGGCTTTGTATTCTTAACTTCTGCTATTGTAAATAGTTCCCCTGTCCAATTTGGAGTATAACCTTTACTAAAAACATGTTTATACTTGGAAATCCTTACGCTATCACCTACCTTATATCTTGGCTTTTTAACTTGCTCTACTTTAGAAGTCAACCTCTCATGTACATATTTACTATTCTTAACATTTACTTGGTTAGGCTTCATTCCTATAGATCTATGCACTTTATTATTATATTTTCGAATTAACTTTGGAAGTAAATCCAACCATTTATAACTCCCCTGAGCACTAAATTCCCTATATAACCAATTCTTTAAAGTTCTCTGAAACCTCTCCACAATTGCAGCCTTAGTTGTAGAAAATGTGTGATAGTGATTAATATTTAATTTTTTCATTAGTTTGCTAAAATATTGATTAAAAAATTCTTTTCCATTGTCAGATTGAATGTTTTTAACCCCCTTTGGTAGAATAGTTTTAATGGCTTCTGTAACCACTAACCCTGTCTTATTCTTTAGTGGAGCAGCATAAGCTTTTTTAGAAAATGTATCTATTAAAGTTAAAATATATTTATTGCCAGAATTTTCTCTAGCATAGTTTTGCATATCAATTAAATCTATTTGTACGGTTTCATTTATACCTAATACTTTGAAAGACCTTCTAATGAAATTCTTTCTTGCAGGTTTATGAAGTTCGTATGCAATTTCATTCATTTTTTATAACATCATCCTTTCCTGTAACTCTAAATACATCACCATTAGCCCCAATCAATAGATTATCTTCCATTCTTTTAAATACATAGTTTTCTGGTATATATGGTCTATTATCTATATACTTAAATCCACTCAAAGATGTGGGGTCAGCAACTAATAAATCAGGATTATATTCCATCAAATTAAATTTTTTTTCTCCATATACAAATTTTGATCCATCATAATGCATAGATTGTGACATTAGACAAATATCATCCAAATGTTCCCCCTCTGGTAGATTTCTTATGAATTGTTTTTTGGCATCCCAACATTTTTCTTTTTTATCAAAAGTTATAGTCTGTTCTTTTATAACACAGTCAGTGTCATCAATGGCAGGTTTAACACGTACTAACCTTTTACTATTAAAACTCCAATAGCCTGCTTCCATTTTTGGAACTTGTGAAACATTCACAGCATCTTTACTATCTGTACCTTCCATCAAATTACTAATTTTCTGTTTCTTCGCATTCCAAACACCATTCTCTGATTCTAAAAATTCATAATTATTATTGTCTTGTACAAATTTACCATCTTCTTTTCGTATTAAAGTCTGTTGTAAAGTGGGCACATCATCTAAACTTTCACCCTTTTCCACATTAGTAATTTTCCGTTTCTTAGCATTCCAAATACCATTCTCTGATTCTAAAAATTCATAATTATTATTGTCTTGTACAAATGTACCACCAGCTGTTCGTATTAAAGTCTGTTGTAAAGTGGGCACATCATCTAAACTTTCACCCTTTTCCACATTAGTAATTTTCCGTTTTTTAGCATTCCAATTTTTATTCTTGGATTCTAAAAACTCATATTTAGTTTTACCTTGTAAGAAGACATCACCTTTTCTAGTTAATGTCTGTCCCAAAGTTGATACATCATCTACAAACTCCCCATCTTTAACATTACCAAGTTTACGGTTTAAACCATTCCAACTATCGTCTTGTAAATTTAAAGTAGGTTCACTACTAGCCCTGGGTTCTGCAGGCTTATTATATGGATTATATAAACGATAAAATTTATCTATAAACATATTTTTATTTAATAAATAATTCCACTTTCTCTCAATTCCTCAATAATGGAATCTATTTCATTATCCACTCCTGAGTTACCGGCTTGGCGACTTAGCCAAAGAAGTCTTAACCTATCTACAAGCTCATTAGGATCATCCCAATAAATATAGTCTATTTTCTTACCAGTCACTTGTCTCAAACCTTCACCAACAGATTTAAAAAGAGGTTTAATTATATTAAGATATTTAGTATGTCTATTACTTGAAATTGGTGCACCATCTTTGTAACTCTTTAAATGTCCATTTGTAGCTTCCAAAATTTCTTTATAATTTTGCAAATCAGCCGGAGTATAATCCTCAGGTTCTTTTAAAGTTAACAATTGCCACAAACCTTTTGTCCCCTTGTAGGTTTTATTTGCAATTGTAACATCATCATTGGCAATATCAACTTCCTTATTTCCAATAAAAAATTTATTTGCTTCTCGTCTAATACCATATGTAGTGTCTGTCATACTACTTTTACTGAGGTAATTTCCTAAATAGTCTGATGCTAAAAGACCAAAATCTAATTTCTGTGGAGTAGATTGTTGTAATGGTTGTAATCTTGGTATTATTGGTATTCTAGATGGAGTCATTGGGAGAATCTCCATTCGAGGCCTCTCTGTTTTGGCGATTTTTTTTAATTCTTGTAATGGCTCTATTAAAGGTTGGAATGTTTGGAACCTCTCTTCAGCCTCTAGAAACTTGCCACGTTTTAAAGCTCTATATTTCTCTCGTATTTGATTTGCAGAGTCAACCAATTCTTGTTGAATGTTTTTCATCTTTTATTTACATTTTATTTATCTCATTTGACAAAGGATTGTACTCAAACACTTTATCATGTATTATCAAACAATATGCAGATGTATTTGCTGGCACATTTTCTGCAGTTTCAATCTCTAATTTAATATCAACAATTCCTTCCTTCACTGTTTCGTTCTGTCTAGAACAGTCTATTACAATTAGTGGATATTTCTTCATAAACTCAGCCCTACTAATCATAGGATCTGGGATAGTATTATAGTAAGTCTCTCTAAACCTCATAAACATCTCATAAGCTTTAGAGACATCTCCATTTTCAAAGTCGAGATTTAAATCACTATAAGGATAATATTCAGAGTTTAGAAATACTTTGAGATTTTTTAACTTACAGTGATCAAATT